TATCTGTTGGATGCCATAGTGACAATTCCCCTCCGGGGAGACTTCTTTCTTCAAACAAACCTTGCATCACATACTTCCTCCTTTCAAAAGAAGTTCATACAAACACAATTTTTTCCACTACAACCAATCACATAAATGCTTATATCTCTCTTCAATGCAAGAAAATATCCCAATTCAACAAATGAAACGATGTCGCTACAAAATGATTAATCACATAACAAACTGTTCTGTTTACAAGTTTTTCAAAGAAACATTAACAGTCAATTTCTCATTCACTGGAGATGATTAAAAAATTAAATGAAAACGATTGGTGAAATGCATCAAGCTAAAAGTTGTGTGTTTATTTGTGATTATCAATCGAGAAATTAAAATCCTATAAACATTTGGACCCGTGGTTCTACTTAATGGGAACTTAAAAAAAAAAAAAAAAAAAAAAAAAAAAAAAAAGTATTTTTATCAAAACTTGCTTTGAATAAACCAACAACAAATTTGCTGTTTATATACTTTCAATGATAAGAAACTTTTCCATTTACCAAACAGGCTATATTATGCAAACTTGCTATGGTTGCAGAAATTTTGTACAATTTATGTAAAACTCAAAATGTGTTATTTTGAAATTCAATTTCTCATTATTCCTTTAGCATTTCATTATATTTAAAAATTTCCAGGTATTCCAAGACTTAACTAACACATGCTGTAATAACCTTAATACAACAGCACCAACAGTGTAAAATATCTCCATTATGTGATCAAGAATTTATGCTTAATGCTTTTAGGGAGAAAGAAAAGGGGATGTGTATCAGCTCCTGAAATATCTCTGTAATAAAATGTTGGCCAATGTATACTTGCATCATCAAGAAAGAAAATCAGATGGTAAGATTATTGTTCATATAAAGTATTTTGATTGATATTTTTCAATTTGTTTAAATCACATTTAGTTACTGTGATTTTCATCTTATACAGTAAAATAGATTATTAATAATGGGAGACAAATTTCAGTCTTGGTAAGTGACCACCAATGTATTCATAATGTAATGTTAGACTCTCAGAAAATTGTCATAAGACTGTGAGCATTTGGTTCAATATATTTTATTAACCATTATCATTCTGTATGGGATTTCATTTGATGTACAAAAAGTTTATCCTGCCACTGAAGGTGACTGATCCCTGAATAATAGTGTTTGAATTTCATAGTTGTGTTGTCACATCCTGCTATGGCGACAGAAAACAACTTTGAATGAAATTAGCAGTAAGAATACTGCAATCGAGAGGCCTTGAGAAAAGAATACAGTAGAAAAGGAAGTAATATAAATAAGGTAGAATGTTAAAGGTTAAGCAGCTAATTTATCAGTTTATCCATCCAGTAACTCTCAAAGAACATACATCAGAAGGATAAGAGATTACACAAGCTAGGAAAAATTAATTTTATATCACAATTTATTTCTCCGAATTTCAAAGTATTTATTCCAATTTTCATAGAAATGCTAAAATTTTATTAAAAAGAAATTATCATTATCAAAAACAGAAACAAAATTGCTTATAAATGAATAAAAAGAAAAGAGCACTTCACTATAGAGAAAATTAGGTTCATTATTATTATTGTAGTAAACTAGATTCTCATTAGGTATCCAGATTTGTAGTTTTATGCCATACCAAGCTAAATTTATTAACTATCAATAAAGAAGAAAGCTGATAATATTAGGCAATTAGGGTTAGGATTAATATTTATAATTTTATTAATTTGATTTAGCTAAAATCTGAAACTGTTATTAAATGATTTTTAAGTGAAATTGCTTCTATTGCAAAGTTATTATCTCCTTTATCATTCTGCCTAGAAAACCCTGTTTCTCTATCAAGAGGCCATATTGAACTCTCAGATAGTGAACATTTAAAAATATGTAATCATACCATAGTGTTGCGATATGATTATGATATAAAATGTGTTAATACAGAAGTAAAAAAAATGCATTTTTGTAACAAATAATAATTAAATAAAAGCATAATGCTAAATAAAAACAAATCAAATAATGCACAGAAAGAATCTGAACCCATTTCTATTATATCTGTTCAATTATAAAAACCTATAATAAACTGAGAGTTTAGTAATGTCACCTCTTTGGCACAGCAGTGTGGTGTAATGTTTAACAAGCTTTTGTTGCTAGAAAAATTATGACTGAATAGTCAGTTTGATCTTCACTGTGCCACATTTAAGATATGTTTAGGAAATCACCACTATGTCACCCCTTGAATTACTTCGACCAATATTCTAAAATCAATTTCATGCAAGACATCATCCTATGTGAATCCATTTCATAAAACTGATTTAATCAAATTAATTTTTTTTTATTTCCTTAAAATATTTGGAAACTTATGAATAATTTTTAGTTTTTACAATTTTTTTAAAATGATTTTAATTAAAATCAGAGTTAAATTTTGCTGAATTAAAAATAACACTTTGGTTGAGAGTGAAGAATTTTCACTATATTGCTAAAACAGATCCAAATAAATAAGTTTCCTTTCTAAAGACAGGATAATGATATCCTGTCTTTTTATATGAGTGTACTGTAGCCAATAAAATATAATAAAGATCATAGAAGATACTGTAAAGAAATCAAAGTTCTTTTTAGTATTTTGCTCAATTTATAGAAATTACAAGAATTATGGGAGGAAAAGTTTGAATAATTTAACAATTGCAAAGAATGTATTTTAAATAATCAAAACATTGTGAAAAATGCAATGCGTGTATCGTACCATAATATTATACAAGGACTTTAAAACTGCCAATAAAATCCTTATTCTTTTTTATACTGAAGAAAAATATTCAAATTAAGCAAAGTTTTTAAATATTTTATGCAAAAACGATTGGCACACAGTAGCAGTGTCTGATAATGGCTAACAACATTATAATAAAAGATGAAGAAAGAAGAAAAATTAATTGGACTTTTATTTTCATTTAGCAACTTCTTTGAACCTAATTTTTGTTTTCGCTTGGAATTTTAAGCTGTATGGTTCTTTGATATTTGTTTTTATATCAACAAAAGTTCAAAGAATGTTACCAAATAATTACAGAGACATTCGGTTCAATTTCTAAAAATATTAACAAAGACGGAGATGATAATGTTGAAAGACTTTGATTTTCAAATTTCTGATAATTTGGAATCATTTGAAATATACCAATTATTATTTCATTAAATAGTCCTAGCATTTCATCGGGTAAGTCACCATTTGACAATAATCGTGTCACCATTTTCAATGCTGTAGTATCTCAATTCTGTTAGGTCTTCATCAAAATCGACTTCCAGTTCCGGGCATCTCTTACTAACATAGGATAATTTCAGATTCATGGTGTCAGTAATTTTATAAAGTCTCTGTACAAAAGATTTTAATTTTAAAACTGTCATTGTTGGAGACAATTTCTTTTGCTTAAATACTTTGTCTGGCGCATTTGGGGACTTAAAATTTACTGGTATCAGTTTGTCTTTCAAGTTTGTAGAAGGTTGTTGGAGTGCATTAGGATTAGGAAGTCCGTACTTCTGAATAAGTTCTTTATATCGCGAATGTTGCTTGACCATTATTTCCTCCGACCACTGATGGGCCAAGGCTTGCTTAGCGATCATATGGAGGTAGTAAATTTCCGCATTTTTCCGATCAGTTGATGAGATTTTTGCTTTTGTATACGTTTCAAGCCCGCCTAATTTTCCAATAATAATTAAGTATAAGTTTTCTTTGAATTCGTGTTCTAAAGGATTATTGGTAATGGAAAAGTTCCGGAGACTTGGTAACTTACTGAGTTCATCAATCGCCGACAAATGTTGGATTTGGTTATTATTTAACTCCAATGTCTCAAGTTTCGGAAAATACTTGGTTTTCTGTTCTTCTTCTAAAGTCACATCGTTAAAATAGGTACTTAAGAAACCATTATGATTGGTATACAGGATCTTGAGTTCGGGAAGCTGACCAAGTTTTAAAACGTCTTTCCACTCAGTGATGTGATTATATGCAATAGAAAGTCGTTCAAGTTTTTGTAAATAATTACTCGAGTCGACTAGTTCATTCAAGTCATTGTAGCAAACAAACAAACTGCGCAGATTGGGGAACATAGAGGTACTGTTAAGAATATCGGACCAATTGTAGCCCATATGATTCATTACAAGTTCTTGAATGTTTGCAAATAAATTAGTAAATGGATCTTTTACAGCAGGAATTGATAATCGATTATGACTAACATTCAATGAAGTTAAAGTAGGAATCAGAATTGTAATTTCAGACACATCTTCCCAGCTTTTGAGCAAATTTCCCGAGAGATCAAGATCGACCACTCTGGAAAAAGTATCAGAAAGCGGTACAATCGTTTCAGGGGGGCCGATACCGTAAATAGCACGATTTTCGAGAACGAACATTTTCATTCTGTTGTGACTTTCATTTAATTCACTCATTTTCATTTGGTATGCTTCGTAAAAAGAAATACCTAATTTAGCTTTCTTAGGAGTGATAAACGAACCTGAGGTTGGATATTTCGTTTCAAAATATTTCCGATCTTTGTAGCTTCCGTCATGCTTGCCACGCGCTACATCATCCCAATCAACTCCTAGCCAAATTCCACTCATATTTTCAATTTCTCCAATAAATTTCAACGTACCACGATGTTCGTCACATTCAATACGATCGCCGATATGCAATTCACTTCCATCCGGTCGTTTCATCGTCATTACATCTGACGCCATAACTTTCAATCCAAATTACTTCCCCTATATATTTATTTATTTATTTTTCCCTATCTCACCTTACACCGTTTCCTTTAGAAGTTTAAATGTTTTTTGTTTTATAAATGAAAAGAGAAGAAACACTCATTTTAATAAAAAAGAAAACATTTTATAATTGATAACAAATTTTCGGTTCTCTTCTTTCTGGAATTTGGCTGTTGGAAAATTTTGACCGGTGGTTTATTTTTTTTAGAGGAGATTTTATTTCACAACACCCTTAAACGCAATAGTTGCAACATGGCGTATGTTGCGAGTAATATTCTCAAAAGTGATAGCAAAAAACGAAAAGTTGAAGTGATTATTACTAAAGGCTTGCCTGACAGGAAAAGGAGTCGGATAGAAGCAAAATGTAAACGAAAAGCTGCCCTGCTATCGTTATTGCGAGGCAAGCAAGTGCTAGAAAAAGAGGTATGAAGTCTTGTTTAACAATAACATCGACAACGTGGTTCAAGTAAAAAAAAAAATTGTCATTTTTACTCACTCACAGTCTTAAACTCGGCAAAATTTATTTTTATAGTTTAATTTAATTTATATTTCGTTAGGATCTTCACCTTAATTTTATTTATTAATTCTGAGTTATAATTTGATCTAAGCCATCTTTTTGCTTGTTTTTTTTTTTTTTTTTTTTTTACTCGAACAAATTGTGTTTTCTCATTTCTAAGTAAAATAAATAACTCACCCGGAGCTAAATTTAAAATATCCGAATTCTCTCTCGGACCTTTATAGGTTTCATCATCCCGTAAGGTTGCCAAAAGTTAAAGAATTAATATTCTTTGGTACCTGATGAACTGAAAAATTCTTTTTCTTGGTTTTTCATACATATGCAAAAAAAAAAAAAAATGAACTTACAATGAATACTTGTCTAAAACGAATGAAACAATTTCAATTAATTTTCAAATAGTTTTCGAATTCTTCGAAAATACTTTTTACTTTTCTTTCTGTGTGTCATTAGCAAATAACTAAAGTTTAAAAGTAAAACTTTTTTTTTGTTATTTTTTAAAGTAACGTCTATTTATGTGGTGACTTCTTTATTTTACAAAGTAAGCCAAAGCTTTACAGAAGATAAATGGCAGATTGACTTGATCATAATAATGAAATCAAGTGTAAAGAAAAAGGTATCTAAATTTAATAACTGATAAAATATGCGTAAATGAATGTTTTACTGAAATTCGGTAATTATTTTGTGGAATTATTAAAAACGCTGTTCGTCACATTTTTTATTTCATCTACAGTTCAATCTAGTTAAAAATCAAAAATTTTCTTCGAATATTTCCAACTGTACAGTAAGTAACTGAAATCGCATAAACTTTGAAACTATGAAGATTGAAGACTGAAGAGGCTGGAATTTTAATTTCTCGAAATTTCATAAAATTAAGTAAAAAAAAAAAAAAAAATTCAAATATTTTCATTCATTTGTAAATAAACCCTGAAAATTTCATTAAAATTTGACAAAAATAACAATGCATTTTTTACCCTATTTCCATCATTCGGACTATTGTCCTCATCTTTGTTGCCATATTTATCACAACGTTTCGGCCATTGTACGCTCCGGCCTTCTTCAGGTGGTTGGAATGTTTATTTCGCTCGCTAGGGTAGACTGTTCTAGTTCCACGTGCCATGTCTAAATGGATGTCAGTTATCAGTTATCTCCTGTTTGTTTAATTCACCTCTCCAAGTTCTCCACTGCCTTAACCAGGTATTGAACTCACACTGTCACTGGATCTAACCAACGCCTTTATCCACTTACCGTAAAAAATTAAAAATCTTATTTTTAATCAAAATTTCGAACATGCTAGCTAGCAGCTAGAGAAAGGATGAAAAAAAAATCAAATAATCAAAATTCCCACATATTCGCGGAAAAAAACAGTTTTAATCAAAATGTTTGTTATTATTTAAGAGGAAAGACCAAAGTATTTTTTATTATTTTGCGAAATGTTTTAATCCTCACTACCACTTTTTAAATTTAAAAAAATTCTAATTAGATAAAAAATCGTTTAAAATTCTGCATTACTTCAAGGCGGTTAGTTGAAAATGAAAACTACATTTACGAATCAAAAATTGAAAAACTCATAAGTCATTTGTACTCAATATTTTTAAAGAATTAAAAATAAAAAAATCTTAGTGTAGAAACGTTCCCAATTTCTAACTATGGTAAACTATAAATGATGATATCCTTTAAAAGGTCACGTGATTTTAGAGATGTCTGACGCTCTGTAATTCTTTTACTTTCATTATTCAGTTCTGTTTCATCGGTAACGTCTTTGCAAATCATCCTTTCAAAATTTCAAAGTAAATTTTACATTTTTTTAATTACTATTTCACTAAATATTTGTAAAAAATAAAATAAAAAATATTAAATATTTTTATTTTATCTATTTATTTTAGGTCATACCTCAATTTAGTCATTTTTTTTGTTTAAGTTAGTAAACTTAAGAAGAAGAAGATTAAAAAAAAATCTAGAGACGAAATCCAAATTTCATAGAGCATCTTCAAACGTAACTAAAAGTCAATAAAATATTAGATAATTGCTGAAAATATGTTAATTTATAAAAATTCCTAGGTAGTTAAAAATAAAAAAATAAGTTCTCTTAGATTTCGTAAATTTATGTCAATTCTGGTCATCAATACTAGCTGTCATCACCTCGGAACTTATCGATACGTTAATACAAATAAAAGAAAAGCAGGACCCGTCGTTAAGAAATGCTTGTATATTAAATTTTTATGCTATAAGTAACATTTATTTCAAATCAGATTAATTTTTACTTTAAATTTGCTAATTTTACTCAACCTATCAGATTTGGAAGATTTTTAAAACCGATAATTTTGTTTTGTTTACAAATTTATTAAAATTAAGAAAATGGTCGCTTGTAAGATTTTCTGAAATCGGCCAAAAAGTTGGGATTCCGATCTATATAATTTCTATTTGAAATACACCAGGATATTTTTTACTTACTGGAAATAGTAAATAAATTTAATTGTTTAGCTTTCAATTAAAGCTAGGTGGTAGTGTTAGTTAACGAATCTATAGACAACCAGATGTTTTGGAAATTTAAATATGGAGCAGATAATTGAAATAAAGGTACATACAACATAAAAAACGCCTTTTTATATAACTCAAACTGTTTTAAACTATCCGGTAATATTCTAAGATTAAAATATTTCAAGCATTTTAATTAGCTTTTGTACTATAAACTTTATAGTATAAAGTTTTACTTACGAAAACTCTTGATAAAGAAATGTTAGAAAATTCCAATAAATTTTTAAATTTATTTACAACACGTACCTCTTTTATTTTCTGATAGACGTCCATATTTACAAAAATCGACACGTTTTTACACGCACGTACAAAAAATTCCAAATTCATTTTAAAATGGTGGGGGGCATTGAATTGTAATGAGTCTTTCCGTTTATTAGTAAATGAATACGGTTTTATTTTAATAATATCAATTCACTGCTACAAATAAATATAGAATTTTAAAAGTTTATAAATTACTGAATAATTTTAATTAGAATAATTATTCCTATTAAAAATTTAAGAAAAATGAAAATAATTACTGCATTTTAAGATTCAAAGCAGATTTTCTGTAAGTGGGGATCCTGTTTGAACAAAGTCCAAAAGAATTTGAATTTGATGATTTAACTTTTCCGAGGATTTAAAAAAAAAAACTTAATTGATAAAAAAAAAAATTTATCGAAATTTCATAAAATTAAAAATGCGTTTAGGTTAAATAATGTAAAAAAAACAAAAGATTTTCTTTACAAAAAATACATTTAAAAAATAATTTCATTCATTTATGAATAAGTCCTGAAAGTTTGATTAAAATCGGACAATTCTCTGATTTTTTGCAAGAATTTCCTAATCAATGTATTTTTCACCGCAAACAGACGCTCACATTTCCCGTACAAATTTCTGGTCCCGCGTTGACACGACAAGAAAAACAAGGACCAATATTTGCAAGGCTCTAGTCTAGTTTAAAAAAGATAAAAATCATAATTTTTACATAAAAAATCCTTTGATCTTTCATCTTAATATAGGTTTTGTTGATAAAATTTTGTTTTATTATGTTTTTGTTTTTTGTCCCTTTTTCCATTATGTATCCTCTTTTAAGCGCATTTTTGTAGGCTTCTCATTTTAAAAACATTTTTTAATTTTATAACGGAGTTGTTTTTAGTTTCACTCACATTTTTATTTTTAACAAGTTGAATTGTGTTCTCTGTCTCAGATATTTTTGAAGAAAATTGGTTCAACAAATAATTGATTATTTAAACTTAAAGAATCAATTTTTTTTGTATGTTTTAATTTAAAAGTTTTACTTTTAAATATTGTAACATTATTGTTATTGTATCATGTTCTCACGAGACAGAACATGATTTCTATTGCTATGACATTCTACCGGCGTGCTGCATCGACTTTGAAATAATAGTCCGTTGGGATGCTCAATCCTCAGGTGAAGTATCTGAAAAAATAGTTTATAGTATATTTTCTTCAATTAATGCAATCTTTTTTTGCTCCTTATTAATGTTTATTATCTATGTTAAATTGAATCGCAATTTTTTTTCAAGAATATTTTTCGAAAATTTGATTTTTTACTTCTTACTCATTTCATGTATTTTAATTTCATAAATCATTATGAAATACTATCAAAATTTGTATAAAAACTAATAATTTTAAAATAAATTAAATGTTACGCTGATATTTTTTTTAAGTTTGTTTAGAGATTCCCAACCTTCAAATAACTATCAATTACGTTTTCGGTTTTACATTTCCTCTATTCGTTTTTGTTTTGTTTTTTGTTTTTTGTTTTTTAAACAAGTCCAAGAAAAATACAATCTGTTATCTGTTGATTGTTATTAAATCAAGTCTAGTTTTCGTAGTTTCACATTTAAAAAAAGAGCGAAATGGTTAATTTATGCTAAAAAAATAAGACTATTTTCGAGTTGGTGTGTGAATTTTATTATTTTGTGATTGTTTTTGTGGCTGATCGCTGTGAATTTTTTTTTTTAACTAACGCCAAAACTCAAAGAATGACTATCTTGAATGTATTAAACCTTGATTCATGTTTAAAAAACATTTACATTGTTTATCAAATGATTTTTGATAATGCAAAATACAAAAAAAAAAATTCTTTAATAAGTGCGGTCTGAGTCTAAATCAGGTTAATTTGCTTTTTAAGCCCCGCGCTAAATATCTATTAAAAATTTCCCAAATCGTTATATTTCTGTGTAAATTTATATGCTAAACTCGAAAATAACAATTAAATTTTGATAAAATCTATCGTTTTGGAGTTATCGACAATAAAAGTTCGGACTCAGTCGCGTTCAGCCGTCGGCTATTACTGACCTTGTTTTAACTACATTCACTGCGGAACATTTTGCGCGCGGAAGCTTTATTAAGGGCCTTTTTATTGATCTTACTCGTCTAAATTACTGTGCACTTAAGCAATGAGAAGTGTTGATTTTAGTTTCAACAAATGTAACTTTACTTAAAATAAAGCTAAAATAAATATTTTCCCACTAAAATTGGTAAATTTGCTTTTTAACACCCGCGCTAAATATCTCTTAAAATTTTCCCATTGTCATAATTCCGTGTAAATGTACATGCTGAACGCAAATTAACAATTAAATTATGAAAAAACCTACCGTTTTGGAGTTATCGACAAGAAAAAAAAAATCGGACTTCTTGTTGACAGAAACAAAATTTTGGCCTATTATGACGATTTGGTAAAATTTTAAGAGATATTTAGCGCAGGTGTTACAAAGCAAATTTACCCTAAAATCTTGTTTTACTTTTTCTGAAAATATTTTTTCTTTGAAAATTTTTGTTCTGAGAAAATGAAAGTAAAAGTGGAAGCAAGTGATGTAGCTTTTAAAGTGGTTGGGCTAATTTACAATATCCATGTTGGTGTCTGATTTTGCGTCCAATATTAACAAATGTTCACTTATGTAAGCATATTACTAAACTGGATCCTGACTTTGTGCCCATGTTGATGTCTCTATCTGTCATTACAAAAATATAGATGTCACGGTTTTCATGCTTTCTTTTTATTTTATTTTTTGATATATTCTATTTCTTATTGAATTAAATTAGCTATAATTTGGGGTGAAAGATTTCTTAAACAGTAATACTATATATAGTCGGGACCTACTAAATTTACCAAAAAAAATTAGGTTAATTCTTGTTGCTTCCAATTTCAAACTTCTTATTCTTTTATTATTGAAATGAGCAAAAAAAACAATGCCATTTTCCTAAAAAAAAAAGCAGGACAAACTGCAACAGAAAAATACATTTGCAGAAAAAAATTATTTTAGTTTAACTGAATTTTTATTAATTTCATTACTTTTTTTATTTATGTTCTGATTCACAAATGAAAGTTTTAAAAAATCTTACTGATCTTAGTTGAACCTCAATATCTTCTGTTACATGTTAATCATTGCTGGTTAAAAGTTGGCAAAAAATGAACCCCTATACTTGTGTAAGTTCAACAGATTTTGTATTGAACTGGAAGATATGAGATGAAGAGCTTTGTATTCTATCAAGTTTTCTCCTTTTTTTTTTTTTTCCTTTGCAGAAAGAAATAAATGAGGATGATTCTGTTAAAAACAAGAAAGGCAAAAACAATGTTTTAGTCAATTGTTTGCCAGATTTTATGTCTGGTGAAAACAAAGATTCAGTTGTATCCAACATTAAAGCACTTGCAAAAATGCAGCAGGAAACTTTGGTCCACATGAAAAAAAGACAGGTAAGCAGTAGATTTGAAAATAATGAGATCAGGTAAAAAATATTTCAAATTCATTCCAATATAATAACTCTGGACAGAAAATATTTGACTGTCTTTTGTGTATTTGACTGTCTTTTGTGTATTTGACTGTCTTTTGTGTATTTGACTGTCTTTTGTGTATTTGACTGTCTTTTGTGTATTTGACTGTCTTTTGTGTATTTGACTGTCTTTTGTGTATTTGACTGTCTTTTGTGTATTTGACTGTCTTTTGTGTATAAAGGTTTTAATATTCAGAATGCTATATCTTCAGAACTTAGAGCTGCAATAAGGAATTCACAAAAGTGAGCAGAATTTTGTGTTACAAAAGGAATGTGTAATTTAAGGCTGGACTGAAATTCTTTTTATATCTTTGAACTTCTTGATGTCATCAGAGGGATAAAAGAGAATAAGTTATATTGTGTACTCATTTTCATGTTGAAATTCACAATGTGAATACCATAGAAAAGACTGTCATAAAACAGAGCTACAGATCAGGAATATTGTATCTAAGTCAGTGTTTAAGATTAATACACAAGAACATCTTGGGATGACTGGATAATACAAAATTTTAAATTAAAATTCCATTGTATTGATTCTTCAAGCAATTAATTTTCTAACATTAAAAAAAATCTAATTTTTCACCAATAGCTTTTAATATACACACACAGACACAAGAACAAAGCTTAAGTGCTTCTTTTTAACTAGTGAAACCCAAATTAAGGTTGAAGAACTTAAATTTAGATATTTTTATAATTTATCTATAAATGTGATAAACAAGGATTTAATTGTAAGAATAAATTTTGCTTTAATAAACAAAGCAAGAAAATTATATTTTTGTCAATTTTTGGTTAAAAACTTTGAAGGATTTATTAACAAACAACATTTATGTGTTACGGTTTCTGCTCATCATGAACTAGTTTAAAAATACAATGGAGAATTTAAAAGATGAAGATAAAAAATTTCATTATCACAAGGTAAGTAATTGTAAATGAATATCTTTTGATAAAGATTTTAAAAGCTTTTTTGATGCTATTATAGTCTGAAGTCTACAAATATATGGTATATCTCAAATACTTGGATATACTGGATACTACAATAGCACCCTTATTTTGATTGTGAATAGGCAGAATGTGTCAATAGTCTTTACATAAAAAATGAAGGTTGAAAGTGTTATTTTTAAGGACTGATAAAAGTTACTCAGAAACTCTGGTTAAAAAATTGTTTAAGGTGATTCAACTAAAATATTTAAAAATGTGCTTTTTATAAAACTTACAGTAAAGTTTAACTAATTTTTTTTTTTTTTTTGTATTTTATTCATTTTTAAAACTTTAATAATTCAGCTTTTAGTTTTTAGTTTTTTATTATGACCTGTACTACTTGTATCAAAAACAAAAAACTGATGAAGGATTGAATGGATTGAAATAAATATTTTTTAAACATTTTTATAGTGTTTTTCTTATGCAATTAACAACTATAAATGATAAAGTTAAAAAAATGAATTTGGGACAGTTTAAAATTTTGTTGAGTAGCAGGTTAAAATTATTTATGGGACAGTTCAGGACAGTAAAGAAAAAAAATGTTATTCTGGATCTGTGTCTTAAATATTTCATATCCTACCCTCATGTCACAAGCTATTTTAAAGGAATTTTTTTTATCAAAATGAACTATAAATATTCAGCAGCCATCAATGTATTTTATTTTCACTTGATTTACCCTTATTTAATATATGAGAGAGATGCTTTACAATATGGGTGAAAATTAGACTTCTATAAGTGAGATTGAGGGAAGGTGAAATGATGAAAGTATTAGTGACTAAGTAAAAAGAAAAAAAATTTGTATAAAAATGGGATTGTTTATTTGATAGAGAAAAATTTGCTGGGAGAATATTGCCTTTAACAATGAATCTTAGGATTGTGAAACTTTCTAAGATTTTTAAAAAAATTTTTTTTCATTTAAGGGAACTCCAGAGCTTTTGCTAAAATTCCCTGCTTTGGATATAAGTGAAACCTCAACAGATCTCTACTCAAAGAGTGAAGTTTCTCCACCATTGTTTCTCACAGACCTCCAACAACTACTGCTTTATGCGACAATTGGACCAGCTGCGAGCTTCAAGCCCAGGTGAGATTAAAAAGAATTATCAAATTTAAATTTTTTATTAGATGCATTTTCTCTAACAGGCATAAAAATAAACTGAATATGCCAAGTCCACTTTCTGGTTGAATTTTAAACTTTTTTTCTTTTCTTTTTTTAATATTGGATACACTCAATGATCATTGCTTGAGTCTGTATTTTTTTTTTTTTTTTTTTTTTAATGTTTTACAGTCCTTATGATCAAACAAAACTTTTGTTATTGTTTTCCTTTTATAAAATTTGAGTAAATTGAGTTAAATGTTTAACTGTCCTGCCATTTAATATTTGGAAAGTAAAAAGAAGCCTAGCCTGGTGAATAGTGCCTTAGTTCACTTAAAACTCTTTTCTTTGGTTTTCATTTTCTCGTTCACTTTGTAAAACAATCTGCAAAGTCTTCTTTGAAGATCATTGCCATGTTGTAATCACTTTAATCTCACCCACTGTATTTCATTGGGGATTCTTTAACCTTGGGAAAAGCCAGAAGTTGCAAGGAGTCAAATCTAAACTGTAGGATTTTGCATGGGTTGGCTAGATGACAGATGATGGCCAAAAAATCTTACACAGGAAGTGAAGAATCTTACGAATGCAACAGTCACATGGTGCACAAACTCACTGGCATCTCACTACTGAGTAACCTTATAGGAGAATATCTGTTTGTGCAAGTACAGTTTGGTCACCTTTAAATGGTTGCCAAGTTATATCAAAGCCTTACTACAGTTTTTGAAATTCAAAATGGCTGGATACATTCCAGACATTCATCAGATTTCATTTGTTTATAAAATTAATCTTCAGCATTGTTTATTATAGTTTAAAATAAACAATTGGTTGATAATTAGTGGATAATCTTGTGAAAATACTGTCGTTGTTTTTTAAAATTTTGTTTTAAACACCCACCCACCCCTTGTAAATAAAGCAAATAATACTCAATTGCTATCCTTTAGTTTGTATTTTTTATTTTATTTGTATTATGTTTTTGCTTGCAGGTGGTGTCAGTTGAAAAATAGTAACAAAGTTTCTTCGACGTTTCTTATTGTACTCAAATCTGTCAGCTTAGCAGACTTCAGAAAACACAAAGAATGCTTCCCAAACTTAATCAAGCATTTTAAGCAGGTTGGTTATGACAGCAGCTAATGAAATAAAAAAAAAAAAAAAGTTTATATTATCTTCTCTTCTTTATTGTATTTTTTTTCTGGGTGATGTCATAAGAAGGAATTTACAGGGTTCATACAGGTCGTGAAAAAATGACAGGGCCTTTTGCAGGGCTTGAAAAGTCCTGGAAAAACAGTAATAGCCTAAAAGAATCTATGTAGACAAGAAGGATTATAGGATAGAAAATGTGCCTTTGAAGAATTAAGAAGAATTATTTTTAAAGTTTGTAAACTAATGACCTGTATCTCTATCTTTTGTTGTAAGTGTAAAAAAAAAAAAAAAAATGCTGAAATATATTAAAACTCATTTGGCTTTTATTGCTATTAAAAAAGTTCAATCTGGCAAGGCAACCCCTGTCCCTTTACTTATGTATTTCTGCCACAGATGGCTAGAAAATGTACAAGCATGTGAACGATTCTTAGATATTTTGTTTAGATGTCATCAAATTTGTGAACTTAATTAAAAAAACAGAAAAATATCCCCAGACCAAATCGTCCTCTGTGGTGCTGTCAAATGTGAATGAACTTTTATTTCCAGTGAAACTGCAGATTTTTGTATCTGTTTCAAAAAACATTGAACTGTTTCTGATAAAATATCAGAGCGATAAACCATTGCTTCCTTTCCTTGCAGATGATCTTTTTAGCATGATCATGAAACTGTTAAATATGCATAAAGATGCTGCAAAGATCGAATGTGGATTTCTGATGTGCAAAATATATCTAAAAAAGGAAATGTATTAACAAAAGATCTTTTTGCATGTACAAAGACAATATTTATCATCATCATTGAGAAACTTCTGGCAAAGTCTCTCCTTAGATACCCTCTTGTAAGGTCACTTGCATGGCTTAACCCTGGATCCATTTGTGAAAAAAAATCTGCCTCAGAAGACAGTCTAAAAAGATGTCTTTCCCACATGATGGACAAAAATAAGTCAGCAAGTTTAACTGTTCAAAGAGGAGGTTGCTGGAAATATTGCTTTCGAGAATATCAGCAAGCATGAAGACCATCTGGACACTTTGTTCTACACTTTTTTGTCTAGCAACAAAGAATATCAAAAACTGGAAATTTGTTCATAGATTGCTGGTACTCTCTCATGGACAGACCTTGGTGGAGAGAGGTTTCTCAGTCAATAAGGAAATTTCCACTGACAATATTGCTTCCAATGCCAGAACAGCATAAAACCAATATGTTGAGGCTGAGAAGAAAAAAATTAGAAAGGAGCAGCTGTACAAAAACGGAAATCCATGCTTATGGAAATTGAAGAACTGAAGATCAAAAAACACAAGCTTGAAAGTTGCACACAAGATTTGCTCAAGTCAGCTGACAGCTATGCGGAGAAAGCTGACTCAAAACGTCACACTTATTGCAAAGTCCAATGCCATGCAAAAATCTGCAAAGGACTAGTTCATAGAGATATCAAAATTAGAAGAGGAGCTGAATGCTAAACTAGATGAACTGAAAAAATGGTAACATCATGTTCTGTGTCATGTGTGCAATGAAAGCCATTAGTAGAGGTAGCTAAAATGTGTAGTCTTTTTGTGAATATTTCTATTTGTAGTTCTGTTTATTAAAACCACTATAATTAACTTCACAGGAAATGTGCAGCATTCAAGAATTTTTGTGACCATGAGTTGTCTAGATAGCTTAAATGTGTAGCAGTAAGAATTAAAGTAATTCAAAACTTTCAAGTGTAGTATAAGTCAAAACTCTGTAGAATGCTACATAAAATGAGTAACATAACCAGGCCTGCAATCAGTTGTGTTTTAGCCTTCAACACTTGGATTTCTTCACTGCTTTCAACTGATCAATGTGGCATAAATTATTGGTACCAGCTTTAACTTTTCTTCAAACATTTCATCTGTCAAACGATTAAAAGATCAATCACAAAGTTTGTTTTTGCAATTGATAATCATTCACTTTGTGTGTGTGTGTACATCAATTTCAGTCCTTTCAGCTTTTTAACATAGTTATGGAATTTTTTTACGCAGTTCTGTGGGAATCCTGATTTATTACATAAGTCTATTTAATGAAACATTTGCAAAAATTAAGTTTCTTTCTTCAGACTACAAATGCAATTTACTAAAATTAGTGCATGTGCAAATGATAGATTATTCAGAAATCTAATTTTCTAAAGGAATTGTTTTATTAGGAAAAATATTCACACTGGAATATTCTACTCAATGCTTTGAATGCAAATTAGATGTTAATATTTGGATGCCTTCTGTTATTCTGTTAAATGAATGATAATTGATTCTCTATTCTCCTTGGTAGGCGGTCGAGATGATCAGTCCAACACAGTTTGGAAACACGGCAGAGGAAGAATTCTTCAGAGTACCAGTTAGTGTCAACCATTTATGGAAACTGGGAGGTAAGAAGTGTGTATTGTCGCTAATTTTGAGGCCAAATGTTATTTGGACAATAGAGTTGATATCTAAAAAGAAATGGTCTCATTTTTCTTCAGTAATGAAAACGGAAAATTTCAAATATTCATAGCAACATGTATTATAATAATGGCTAGCTGCTTCTTTCTGAGCCACCCACCTGTGATTTATACTGCAACTCTGCTGAGTGAACCCTACATTTTCTAGGAGAGCACACATGATCTGGCATGATTGGCAGTTGAACAAAATCAGTACATCCAAACTTGTCAGTCATGATTACTTATGACTTTCTGCTACCACAACCATTGACAACTTCATCTAACCAATTTCACTCACGTGGCTTGGGTCAATATATGACATGATTATCACGTACTTTCTGAAGTTTCTGTATGCTGGGATTAACATTTTTTATTTTATTTTTTTTAGTTCACTCCGAGCATAGCAATAAAACCACTAAGAAGCAAGAGGTTATTGAGTGTTTAAAAAAAAAAAAATCATTAAGAGGCAATGAAAGAACAGGAATTAAGAAAACAGAAGACATTCCATTTAAATTTTTGAAGATCAAAATTGGCTGGAAAGCAAGAAGAGTTCCTCAAGTAAAAAGTGTGAGAGAAGAACCTGTTAACATGGAACTTACAGTTACATCTAGCAATTTCAGCTACATTGCAGCAGTGGGAAAGTGACTGAAGCTGAAATGCCAGGTCAGAACCGATAACATTGCATTTTCTTCTTTGTATTTTATAAAGAATCTCTAAATACATAACGGAAACATCAGACTGCAATATTCAATGCATAGACACATAGACTTATAAATTCTGTCAAGAAAATTTGTCTAGTACGATACAGTGAACCAACTTTCCCAGCAGCAGACTGAGCAATTGATTCAATATAATCTTTCTATTTCATGTCAGCAGAAAATTTTAGTCCAAGAAGGTGCAATTAGTTACTCACTTGGAGGTTAGTATCAGCCATGCTGATCAAAGATAAACAGGTTCTCTTCGATGATTAAAAGAGAGCAGTTTAGTTTTGTAGGCATTAAAATTAACAAGCTATTTCCTGCACCAGTTAACAACAGATTGTTGGTCATTTTTGAGATCCTCTGCCAATTTGACCTTATCAAACCGATCAGGCTTACCATTAAGACAAGAGTAAATAGATACAAAGTTGAACTGATGACATTAGGAAGGTCATTGATGAAAATTAGGAACAATATAGGTCCAAAGATAGGAGCCTGGGGAACACTGGCATTAATGCAAAAAGCTCTAGAAGAGTGGCCATTCAAGATCACTTTCATTTCACAATTTGATAAGAAAAATTGAATCGGATCAAAAATGAATTCAAGAAATACCACAACCTTTTTAGCATACCAAACCATGTCAGGTGTTTTTGAGATATCCAGAGCATCAGTCTGAGCTTCACTTATCTAAAGTTTGATACATTCTTTCAGCATTAACTATCAGCCGTTGACCTAGATAAGCAAAAGCCATATTGCTTGTTTGAAAGAAGACCTTGCAAGGTAGGGTACTTAAGCAATTCAGAATTGATTAGAACCTCTAGTATGTTACCAAAAAGAGGGAGAAGGCTAATAAGTCAATGGAAGGATCAGACAGTTTGCCTCAGTTCTTAAAGACTCAAACAGAAGAGGACTTCTAACAAGCAGGAAAGCAAAGAAGCAACAGGGCATTTATTGTAGAAAGAACAAGTGCCAGTTGAGGAGCATATTTCTTAAGAACTATTACAGGGATACCATCAAGTCCACATACTTTGTGCGGATCCAATTTAGAGATGATAGCAAAAACCATGGACAAATGAGTCAAGAGTAGAATTCGGAGAATTTATGATCAAAACATCCTGCTTTTAAGATGTTAATACCTCAAATTAATTGAAGAGAGGAGGGACTTTACTCTGTAATAGTGTGTTAAATAATTAAAATACTATTACATAGTCGCCAAAACCAAACTTGTTAGAAGCCATATGGTGCCTCATTTTGTCAACAAAGACTTAGCCTCTTTTAGGAAACATTTACAATTATTATGAGTGAACAAAAAAGAAGTGTCTGTTGCAATTGGAACTATTGTGTTGGTACAGCCAGAAAATGTTATTCCTGTTGGGTACAGTGGCTGAACAGGCAGGTGTGAACCAAGATTTGTGGTTTCACCTGGTATTTCTGAGAAGGCACAAAAGCATCAATGCCAGCTTTTACCTAAGAAGTAACCTCAGTAGCACTATTCTCAATAGGAAGGTTAAAAATTTCATTTCAAGGGATATTGCAAAAAAATTGCAAAATTAATCCCAATCCGTACACTGATGACAAAAGTTTTTTGACTAGGAAGTTCATGTCTAATCGACAACTCAAAAATATCAATGGATACAATGAGATCCAAATTGCCAAGTGGACATAGTTGTGGTACTTGATAATCAGCCAGGATAGGATAAAAGTAAGTCACTTGAATTTCAAGTACAAGATTCAAGTTTAAATTAAAGTTCAAAGTTTTAACTTAATGTTAAGAAACAATGAGAAAAATTAAGGATATCATCTCCTTTATAAAAACCTCCATTAATTTTTATTTTCATTAAAAACTTCCATGAATTGTCTATCTTTTTAGGAAGTCACCTCCTTGACAAATACAGAGATCTGAACTCTGGTCTCATGGTTAGAATGCTAACATTCTAACCATACATGCAACACTTGTAGTATAAGTGATTCTATTTTCAGTAATGTGCAATACAGGTTATTCTGTAAGCTATATTCTGAGGTGTTCTATCCTTCAGCAAAAAATACCATGTCTCTGTTGAACAATCAAAGTTATATTGCAATGAAATTCACATAAGGCTGGCTTTTGCATCTAACCATTTTTCCTCAGGTTTTTCCATCAATTATTCAGTCTTCATTCCTGAATAGTATACCTTATCTTTTGGCAAGTTGTTGTGAACATTTTAAATTTTTCTAGCAAAAACAAATACCCTTTTTTCTATCCAAATAATACACCTGAAGAAGGTCATAGGATAGATTGGCTAATATGGTGTGGGAATAAAATAACAAAGAGTTAGTTCACTCATCCAAATAACTCTTGAAATCTATTTGCATGTGTCTTTTCATATTATGTTAAACAATTTTGTGAAAATTTGTAGAATTTAATGAGATATAATTATAAAATAAAAATAATTTTAAGTTTTCAGAGATTATCTGCATGGCCCCACTTTTTTCTTTTTTTTTTATGACTTAACATTTAAAAAAAAAAATAAAAAAGGTTAAAAGTAACCAAAGCAAAATAATTCTATTTGAAAACAAACACTTAAATACTTTTATAAATATCTTTTTTAGATTCATAATGTTCATAACTTACATTGACTAGATGAATGTTTCTGTATTGAAATAACATTTTAATTACTCTCAGGTGTCGTTTTTAAAAAATAAGAGAATTATTAAAAATATTTTTTCTTAAATATAAAAACTTTTTATTTTGTATAAATCTGAGAAGAATATGAGATCTGTCCGGAATGTATCCACCTATTTAATATTAATAAAAAAAAACATCCAATGAAATTGTCTTCATCCACTTTTCAAAATGGTCTGAAAAGTCCTCTTTTGGGATTGCCATCGGCAGCCTGAATGTTTTCTCTTTTAATCTTGTCTATGGCATTTCAGTAGAGATTTTAGCTTTGGAACCAAATCTAGAATAGAAGTTGGGGAGCTGGTAGACATGGATGATACAATCCTGCACAAGATGTGAACATTTGACTTGCTTGGTCATTGTGAATGCAATGGTTACATATTAAACAAGTGTAGTCTGTGGTAATTCACAGTTGACTGTGTAGCCCCCACAGGAGTGTTCATGCATGTGCAGCAAAGTCCCTTGACTGGTTACCAAATTAACTCAAGGCTGCACAACTGGTTCAAAATGGATAGATATGTTTCAGACAGATGTATGTATTTCTGAAATAAATTCTAATTTTTTTTTTTTTTTTGCAGTGACGAGAAGCAAAGGGAAGCAACTCATGGCACAAAGCTTAAAAAAAGAAAGAGATGTTCACCCGGTCAAATATGCAGGTCCTGATGCTTTTCCTCGTACATTATTACTTCTGAATCCTTTACAACTGGCTCAAGAGAATTATCCTCTTCCTGTTAAAACTGAGAATGGTAAGTTGTCTTATTAATTCTCTGAAGATTTGTGTTTCTTCTGATGTTTTTTCAACAATTCTAATTTGACCAGAAATGCATTTCAAGAGCAAATCCATTATGAGATGACAACAGTTCAGTTGTAGTGAATAATCATTCCTTACAAACAAGAGCTTCACCTAAAATAATCAACTTAAAGTCAATTTCACTTGGGGAATTTTTATTAACTTCAGATTAGTTTCAATATAATTAGAAACCTGCACATTTTTTTAGCTCTCAGATTCCTATTTTATTATAAAACTTTGTTTCTACATTGTAACTTCTTTTTATAAATTGTTGATTCTTTACTCTGTACATGTGAACATTTAGACATAAGGTGAATTTTGCATATATGAAACTGTTGATCATACTTAAAGACATCTTAATTTCTTACTTTTTAATTGCCAGGTATGGTTAAAATTTTCTGTAATTTGTTTCCCTGAGATGTTTTTTCATTAACCACTCCCTAAATCTTAAAAGACTTTCTTCTTTGCTTTATGTGTTTCTTATTTTGCTGGATTCTATTTTATTCTATCCTTACAGACTGCTACAAAGAGTATGTTTTTTCCCAAGACACTTACGAAAAGGTTACAGATCAAAGTCCGCTTTTTGGTCTTGATTGTGAAATGGTAAGCTTTTTGTTAAAAATTAATGCAACATATTGTAGGAAATTACATGCAGTGACTTGGGAGATATCTTTTTGTCCTCTGTAAACTTGATAGTCACATTTGTGAAGCAGCTCAATGTGGCAAAGTTGAAACTTTGCTCCTGTTTAATCATTAAGGTAACAACTTATTAAATAAAGTCAACAAGTGTGACCATTGAAATTTCTAGAAGCTGTGACTGTTTTCCAATTTAAATCATTAGGGAAGTGGCCAGGGGAAGCTTAAGTAAAAGAGAACATTGTTTTCTGTACAGTTGAGATCAGATTGGGGGGTGGGCTGATGTTTTCAGTATTCGAACCTCCAATGACAGATTTTCCTCATCATTGAAAAAAAATTTTTTTTTTCATTTCTTATTAAGATGAGAAATGTCTTGAAAAGTTACTCTAGAAAGAGAATCTCTTTCTTTCTTTCTTACTTTATAACATCTTATGTGATTGTATATTTTAGCATCAATCCCTAATAACAATGATTGGGGTTGTGGAGTCTGTATACTAAATTTTGAACACTCATTCCAACTTCTAAGCTGTCTTAGGTGGTTTTCCATTTGAAGTTACCATTCCAGCTACATCACAAATAATTTCTGAATAAACAGTAATGACTTCTTTGCTATTGATGAGCAGTCATATTTTTTGATATTCTTTTCATCTGCTGATTGTTTTCTCAACAATAAATGGCTTTGCTTTTGTCTACATCTGTTTTAAAGTGTAATTCTTCATTTGAAGCGGCTGATCCTAAGTAACTAATGCACTTTCTTTCTCCCATGACTCATGAGTTTGTAGGTATCTGTGAGTTGTTAACTTCATCTAGAGAGCTTCTTTTCCTTTATTAATTTGGTTATTGTTCAACAATTATTCACCTCCTTGGATAGCAATTAACAGGATTTGATTATCCAGTATGTATTTTTTGAAGATACAATGCCATCAGTAATGAATTATAAAGTTTTGTTCATGTGATAGATCAAGCTTCCACCAGGTGTTAAATCTCCAGTAACAGTAAATGACTTGAGCAAGAAGACTTTTGCGTCACTTGCACTCACTGCCTGTAACCTGTTAAGGCTAACTGCAAAATCTAGTATTATAGGTTTCTACCTATAATCCATTAATGCATACTGTCTCAAAAATTGGGACAAGTTAGTGAAACACCTTTAAGATCTTCAAGTTGTATGGTTTGTTCAAACATATACTTGACCATCAAATAAGTACTCCTCCTAATCAATTATTATTATTAATGTTATTATGTCTCGGCAGAATAGTTACTATTTGGGGATCTTAGCTTTAATGGCTATTTGTAGAAGGAATCTTTGTACCGCTACCACTTTTAAAACTTTAGGATGAACATACTGCAAGTTTCTTTTTAAATTTTATTTTAAAAATAAATTTTTTACCAGAAAAAAATGACTGATTTTTGTATTACCTATTTTCCATCATCCATAACAAACTGCTGCTATTTCCAGATGTGATTGTAAAGTATTCAATAACTGTCAACTGTGTTAAAACATTTTCCATTGTGAATTAAAGCAAGGGATATAAAGTCCATAAATATTTAATGTATTTGCAAAGTGTTTGAATTCAGCCTTCACTTTAAATTAAAATGTATCCAGAAAAAAACAAATAGGTTAATTGATTTTTACTTGTAAAAAATCCTAACTTTTATATGCTTGGCTTTAGAATTATATATATATATATATATATATATATATATATATATATATATATAAATATATATATATAACCCATCATTTTTATGTTGGACGAAATTTTCTCTGCCAGCGCCACAAATCAAGCCACTCGTTTATTATTTTTATTTTCTTAAACATTTGGGAACTTACTTGAAAAGGGTATATTTTTCATTTCCAAATTTAGTCTGGTTTTTAAATTGTTTTGAGTTTTTTTTTTTTTTATTGTTTTTTTCAACTTTTGTTGTCTATTTCCAGACAATCACTAATAGTCAAATTTATACAGGACCTGAAATTTTCACAGCTCATAATTTTTAGCCTATTCTTTCATTAAAATATTTAATAAAGTCGTTTCTCCCAGGGAAATTATCCTAACTTCAGATGCTTAATTAAGACCTAAGTCACAAGCTGCTGTTGAATTTCTACCTTATCAGAAATAGCAAAATCTTCCACCTCAGGATTGTTCAACACTGAGCCATTGGGCATTTATTTTCTAATTCTTGTTTTGTTTGCAGTGTAAAACAGCAGATGGGAAAAATTCTGTCACACGTGTCTCACTTGTGAATGAAAAAATGGAAACTGTCTACGACACTTTAGTGAAACCAAAATATAAAATTATTGATTATGTCTTCCAGTAAGTTTGAATAATTTCTTTCCTTTTCTTCTTTTCTTTAAAACTATTTTCAGTATCATAGATTTTGTAGTTATTTTTAGACTGGTTGAACATTATAGGCAATAAATGATGAGCTTCATTTTTTTTATCTTTATCAGATGTGAAAAGGTGCTTTCATTTATTTTAGTGGAATCTTTGGGAAGTTTTCATGGTTTGCTGTTGGTAAAACTTTTTAATATCCAAGATTTGTTATTCGTTTCACTTGATGGGTGATAGAAAACATTTCATTAATCATGTTTTAAATGAAAGCCAGGATCAAATCATTTTCAAAGAAATACTTTAGTTATTATGTGATTTTGATGTTGAATTTGCCTACTATGCATTATAATTCATTGGTTTTTATCTGTGGATAGATTGTAGTTTTTCTTTATGCAGAATAAAAACCAAGTGAGAAATGATGTTTAGCAACTCTAGTTTATAAAGTAAATTAAAAAAAACCTGTGCAGTGTTTGAAACTACATATGAAGTGGAAGATATTATTTTTTAAATCTTTTCACTCAAAAATTAATTGGCAAAAAATGTCTAAGGATTACTTTTTATGCCTTTAGTCTCTTACAACAGATATGATCTACCACTCAATTGGGTTCCAGTTTTATTGTTAATTTTATAAAAATTTGGAAAATATTTTTTTAAGTTTATAAATGTTTTTCAAATACTCTGTTGGATTATCCAGTGTTAAAAAAAAATTAAATGGAAAAGTGGATTTTTTTTTCCCCCATAATAATGTCTAAAGACATTAATCCTGTGACTAAATGTGATTTTTATTGTTTAAATAATTGTTCAGTTGTGAATGTAAACAAATTGTTTAATGGCAGATTCAGTGGAATAACACCCAAGATGATGGAGCCCGTAACTACAACATTACAAGATGTGCAGCATAAAATAAAATCCTTACTTCCAAAAGATGCTATTTTATGTGGACAATCTTTGAATTTTGATTTGGACAGCTTAAAGGTATATTTTCCAAGTTGGCCTAATATTTCATTTTACTAACATTTTTTTATTTTTTTTATTTTATGTCTTTATAGTCCTTTGATATTGTTATACTGTACCTATGGACTATAATGGTTATGTCCCAATGCATATAACTACTGAATATACTGTATGTGGTAGTCATTTGGATTCACTCGGGTTTCACCTTGGTTCACTTCTAGCTCACCACTAGCAGTTGATTACTTACTACACGCCACTGGTGAATCTTGTATTGTTCCTGTTATAAATATTATCATTCCATTTCAAATCTTCATTTTTGTTATTCTTATTCAGTAACCTTTTCCTAGGTTACAATATTACATCATATTTATGGTTCTTTGAAACTACATTTTTTCTCATTCTATGACACTTATTTATTCTTTAGTCTTGTATCTGTGACACTTATTTATTCTTTAGTCTTGTATCTGTGACACTTATTTATTCTTTAGTCTTGTATCTGTGACACTTATTTATTCTTTAGTCTTGTATCTGTGACACTTATTTATTCTTTAGTCTTGTATCTGTGACACTTATTTATTCTTTAGTCTTGTATCTGTGACACTTATTTATTCTTTAGTCTTGTATCTGTGACACTTATTTATTCTTTAGTCTTGTATCTGTGACTTATTTATTCTTTAGTCTTGTATCTGTGACACTTATTTATTCTTTAGTCTTGTATCTGTGACACTTATTTATTCTTTTTTGTCTTGTATCTGTGACACTTATTTATTCTTTAGTCTTGTATCTGTGACACTTATTTATTCTTTAGTCTTGTATCTGTGACACTTATTTATTCTTTAGTCTTGTATCTGTGACACTGTTTTTGTCTTCAGGTTCTTTTTCTTTTTTCTTCATGGTCTGGTTCTATGGTACTTCACTTTTTTCCTTTTTTTTTTTTTGTCTTCTTTGATAACGTAACATACAACACAGCGTTTGTTTTTTCTTTGATTTAAAAAATTTTTTCTTACATTCAAATCTCATTTGTCTGTCTACACTTTTTATTTTTCACTTACATTCTAATATTATTAAACATTAGCCCTATATACAGTGCAATATTACATAGTGAATACTTATAAACATATGTAAATTCACTGAGCCCACTACCATTTCTTATTTGCTTACTCCTTATGCTTTACAACTCTTAATTTTTTTCCCCCACCAACAGAAAAAGTGTGCCATATAAGCTTAAAGTATGCACCATCATGTTTTTTTTATTATTATTTTCCCAGCCATTTCTTTAGCAAACTGCAATTTCTAATCTATACAGAAATCTGTTCATTTAACTACCTTTTATTTATTTTTTTTTTTTTACTATGGCAATAAAAACTAAAATACTATATTTAATCAGTTACAATTTTATAAGATACATGTCATTTCACTTGGATAAGATTTCTAAGAAAAATATAAAGATTTTTACATTATTTACATTGTTCAGACTGTTGTCTCTGGCCTTCTTCAGGTGATATATGTTGGAATTTCGAACCAAATCCTTTATTTAGTCCACTGCGGTAAATTGTTCTAGTTCCACGTGCCATGCCTTTCCTGGATATCTCGTTTTCAATTATTTCCCTTTACTTCAACCAACGCTTTTATTCACTGACACATGGCCCAATGGATAAAGGCATTGGTTGAAGTAATCCAGTGACTTGACCCAAAGGAGTTGTGAGTTCAATACCTGGCCATAGCAGAGGTGAGTTGAGTTACTAAAGGGAAAGCTGAAACTGATATATCCAGAAAAGGCATGGCATGTGGGACTAGAACAATCTACCCTTGATTTGGTTCAAAATTCCAACTTTTATCATCTGAAGAAGATACAAGGGCCAAAATATTGTGTATATGACAATAAAAACGACAACAATCCAAACAATGTAATTAGTTACAATATCTCATCTCGGAAGTATAGACAGATGATAAAGGTTTTTATTTTTGTTTTTTAAAAAAAAAATGGAGTTGTTTGACAAGTAAAATGTTTCTTTTGCTTTTCAGTATTTCTATTTTCTATTTTTGTTAATCCTTAGATGTTCCACCCTTATGTGATAGACACCAGTACCATCTATAATCTTTCTGGTTTTAAGAATAAGAAAGTTGGCTTAAAAAGACTGACATCACATTTTCTTGGGTAAGTTATTTTTGAAAGTTAGTTCCTTTTTCTTGCCAATCAGTTTTACTTTCAGAATCCAACTGTAAAAAAAAAAAAAAAAATCAAGAAATAGTTTAAACCTGGATCTTCAGAAATACAGAGCCAATGTTTGGATGAAATAATTTAAATGAAAGTTGGTGCGTTTTTTATATTCAGTAAAGCCACATATATAAATAAATTAAAACCTTGAAAAGATATAAAATAAGAAAAATACTTATTTTTCTCTTCATTTTTTTTTTTATCTTTTCATTAAATCGAAAAATTTATTCCAAAATTTAGATAAAGTTGTCTCCCTTGTTTAAAAAAAAAATACGTTCATTCTTTTATGTGCTAAGTTCTTTCAGAACATAGAAAATCATGACTCTCCACGGCTTTCTGTCGTGTAACTCTACGATCCTTTACTATCTCTCATTGTCCCTATTCTGCCATCCACTTACAAAAATCTGTATTAGGTGTGTTTCCCCCTGCTTCTCTTTGTGAGGTCCTCTTTTCTCATTATGTCTCAGAAATGTTTCTAATTATAAATGTATAAATGTGCTTGTAGTTCTTATATTGCTTTAGACTTCCTAATTGTTTACATTTTCTGTTTATTCTCATCATTTAACAGTAGAAGAAACACATCTCTGTTGCTTCAAGTCTTTTATAATATTTTTTTATCTGAAGATTTGCAACGTCCAAATCTCCAAACATTTTAGTCAAAATTAAATGAAAAAATGTATTTAGTAATGGGTTTTATATAATGAACCTGGACAGGTTTTATTTTTTAAATTTAATTTATTAGTTAACCTTTAACATTCTGGAGGTGATTTTGTTTGCAAAGCAAAAATTTTATCCTGCCACTGCAAGTGACTCAGATGAATAAATAAATGAATAATAGCATGTTTGAATTGTGTCGTCATATCCTGCTATGGCAACAGAAAATGACAATGACTGAAATTAAGTTGTGCAGTAGAGAAGCCTTGGAAAACAATACAGTAGAAAGGGAAAGTAGTGAATAATGCAGAGTGTTAAAGGTTAATGATCTGATTGTATTTTTTTTCTTTTTATAGGAAGGAAATTCAGTGTGGTAATCAGGGACACAGCTCTGTAGAAGATGCATCTGCATCCATACAACTTGTCTTATTAAAGCTCAAACACAGTATGTACAGAGTATGCACTTGCTTTCTTAACATTGATTTTAAATTATACAAGCAAAAACAATGAAAATGCACTTCTAAATATCATTTTATCAAAACCCATACAGTTGTGTATTTTCTTTTGTTACATTCTTATCTGAATCTCAAAGAAAATCTTTCATGTTAATTTTTGGAACGACAGCTTTGGCCATCAATCTTTGTAATAGAACAGCATGGATTAAAAATTATGAAAAAGTTACCAGAAAGAATTGAACTCGCATCCTTTTGCTTTAGGGAAGTCTGGTTAACCATACCAGCAGATCTTACTGTCTGAGTGACTAGAAATTCAATGATTGTATGTCCAGATCTACTCTTCATTCTTTCACAATTTCTCTTGGTATCATATTCATTAATATATTAATAATGGTTGACAATGCTTCATCTAAAAATAAATCAAATACCATTGTTACCAGTAGCGATGGCATTATTATCTTCTATGTTTGGTATTGTAAAACTAGAAACCATTATAGTGCCAAAGAAGTGTGAAAATTAGGTTTATAATATTTAGAAGTCTGCTTGAGTTTCATAAAATTATTCTTTATTATAATGTTATCTGCACTTTTTAATTGCCTGAGGAAAGCAACAATAAAAAAGCAGCTATTAAATTTCAAGTCAAAATTAAAAAGTTAATAATGCTTAATGTCAAAATATTTTTGCTTTTAACAAATGTTTTATTTTCTTTGACTAGGTTTAGAATTTGGTGATCTGGCTCTCTACAGTGGTCCACTCATAGATTGTGACTGGAAAATTCCAAGGGAAATAAGTAGTGAATCATATGCAATCCATGGGAACAGGAAGTATTTCTTTAATGCTGGAGAAAAGTCAATCTATCGGAGTTTTTTTGAGATATTAACTGAAAATGAAAAGAAAAGTAAGTTCTTTTCTCAGAATTCTTTAAATGAATTGCTATTAAATTTCATACACCTTGTAGTAAGGAAATATTTGGAGATGGGTTGCTTTGAAAAATGATTTTGCTAATTTGATCAGGAGAAATCTTTTTAATTCCTCTCACATCCTGATATTGTAGCATTTGAAAACTGTTGAGCCTCTTGGAGATTTTACAACAAATCTGATTTAGTTTTTGAAATTGTCAATAGCTTCTAGATTTCCAAATTCTGGTTCCAGTGCTGGAATAAGACTTGTCTTGAAAGAAATGCTTTCTATTCTACAATTGAGTGATTAACTGAATCTTGTGAGGAAAACAGAAAATTATATTCCTGTTGTTGAGTGAAATGTGTTTTTGTTTATATCAACATACAGGCTGACATAGAAAAGTTGGCTTTACATCTTGCTACAAGAACTTTGGTTTGGGTTGTATCTTAACCTGATTTTTGGGAATGAGGTGGGGGTATCAAGATTACAACTTAATATAAATGGTAAAAAATACATCCGTGGCTTGTAATTTTATGACAAGTCCTTCTCTTTTCATTAAGGTCCTTAAGGTTCCTTTTCATTAAGGTCTTTTCATTAATAGGTCAAGAGGTCACATGCTTAACAGATAACTGTTAAGCATGTGACCTCTTGACCTATTAAAACCACTAACACATATGAGGAACTCATTAAGAAAGTAACTATTACATTGTTGTCATTGGTGAACCATTTGAAGAGAATTTATCAATCTTGCAAAATAAACTTAGTAATGCCCCACCATCAGTACCTCTGTGGACAATTTGATTTATTAGAGACATTATTGTATATCAGATATTTACAGTAAAAAAAAAAATAGACAAAAAAAAAATATATATGGCTATATATGGTGTCCAATTTATAACCTCTAATGTTCCAAAGAAATGACTTCATTTTATCTGATTTGCATACAGAAATGATGAGCAGATAGACAAGCCTCATTTCCATTAGTCAGTGACACAGTTGAGTCAAATGTTTTCTGGCTATATTCAAGCATCATTCCAGCTGAGGTAACAATCCCACTGACGACCATGGAATAGATTTGACTATTATATTGAAAGACCCTCGTTAAGTAATATTTGCTTATATAATTCCAACATGGAAGGCATGATTTTGAAAAGTGTTTGCTTTCATGCTTTTAGCATTTCCCATACTTGGAATTGACCACTCATGATCCCCATTACCATTATTAGCCAAGAGATATCAAGAAAATTCCTTTGATTACTAACATCTTTATTGTGGTGATCTAAGATTTGTACAGATAAACAGGGTGATCACATCTTTGAATTAACAAAGAGGAAGAGACTTTATTGGATAATTTATTAGAGATGTTGATGTATTGTGTATCAGATACTTACATTTAAGAGTCTGATATATTGAAAAAAAAAACATGGCTATAAGATGTCCAATTTCTAACCTGGAATGTTCCAAGGAAATGCATTCATTTTATCTAATTTGCATACAGAAATAATGAGTAGATAAACAAGATTTGTTGGATCATTGACCTCAATTACATAAAAAGGTCACAACCTTTGCCTAGGATCAATTGTTTTTGGGCAAAACATGGCATAAGTGAAATGAACCTTGTCCTGGAGATTCTGATTCTTCATTTCAGGAGAAATTCATGAGTCACCTTGACGCTTTTGCAACAATTTTGTGTCACATTTGCCTTCATGGAAAGGCTAATAAATTACAATCTCTTTTGTGTATAGTATAAAAAAAAAAACAAAAAAAAACCCCAGACATTTGCCTTCAACATCAAGCAACAAAAGTGATCATTAGCAATCCTGAGAATCTAAAAATTAAAACTTTGAAGCAATACATTCCAAAGGAATTACTATTCATTCTATATAACTTCTAAGGTAGAAATGATTCCCACCCCAGAAATATGAACAACGTAGCTCCAGGAAGCCTAGTATATGTAAGAGAAGCAGCTGAATTAATTCAAAGGATTTGTATATATCACATCAAGAGGTTTTGCTCTGCAAAACTTTCTTAATCAAGTTAGTCTCATGAAAGAAGTGAATGACCAAGTACAAAACCCGATGCAGATGATTAAAAGAACATCGAGGAGAAAGCCACTGAGCTGTGAAAATCACTCAAGGAATGATGCCATAGCAGATATTCTATTACCCCTTTTGGATGTGTCTTTCTTGTGAAAGACACATCCAAAAGGGGTAATAGAATATCTGCTATGGCAGGCATCTGGAATGGTGGAGGAGTGCCATGATCCTCTTTAGAACAAATTGCAGGTAATAAATAAGCAGTGCTGCTAGAAAGGGCGGGGGGCCCTTTTTTAAGTGTAGAATTGCCTCTGTTATGTATATTGGTGGCAATGTGTTGGTTCAGTCATCACATTTGCTTTTTTTTTTTCTGTATAAAAAGGCTTCTTTCTTCCTTCCAAGATTCCTTTGTGGATCAATATATGTAGAAAACATTATTCTAAATCACCAAGTTTTCTCTCTCTCTCTATTCAGCCAAGCACTTTATAAAATTTAAGTGATTCATTTTAGATAGCATTAGATTTTATTTATTTTTAATGTTACAACCATTGTGTATAATCTTTCTTTTAAAAAAGGAGACCATTTTTATTTTATTTTTCTTCAGGCCTGATGATTGACCGAGAAGTTGTGACTCATTTTTATGAAAATGAGCCCATGATTTTGGAAAGTAAAACGACTGATGTGGAAGCTGTTGCCACTGCACAAAAATCTCTCTACAACAATGATTTCACTTGGTTACAGCTGAATGGATTTCATGAGATCTTACACACTTCACCAGACACACACGGTATTAAGGTAAAGTGAAATTTCTCATTTCTTACTCTAAATTCAAAATGCTTTAATTTAGTAAAAGTCAAAAATGAATTAATAGAAAAACTGGAGATAAGATTATGCTGCGTTTTTATAATTAGCAAATATTATTCAACATTGTTTTGATGAAGCAACCACAAATGAAGAAGACTTCTGATAATTTGATTCATGGTTGATGTAATTCTTTAGAAAATATTCCTTTAGGCTAGTGGTTCCCAAAGCTTTTTTTTTTTTTTTCTTGTCCACATTTTTGAAATGAAAATTTGCGAGCGCCTCACCAAATTTTGTGATAAAAAGTACATTTAAAAAAAACAAAAAAAAAAACAAAACAAAACAGTGAGGGTTAAAGGGAGATAACCGGGGATTCGATTTCATTATCTTTTTCAATTCTTAATACTTGATATAATACAAAAATATCACGATGATAAAATCGGTCAATAATTATTTACATTGGAACTCATGTTTGCAATTACATCATCATAATATTTGGAAATCTTTTTTTTTTCTTTTTCTTGTTTTTGAAACTTTCTAAATCTTTGTCTTTCCTTGTGGACCATTTGGGAACAACTGCTTTAGTCAAATGCCTTCCATTGGCTGTTGTTGCTTTTAAGCTAATGAATTCTGTTTTTGCTTTCAGGATTGTTTCTGCATGTTGGATTCACAAGTTGGCAAACTTCTAGAAAGTATGTTTTCCAAAATGATGGTGGCTGTTCTGCTCACTGGTCGCAACAGTGACAAATATGAATGTGAAAATGCAATGACTTTGGTGAAGATTACTTAAAAGTCTCTTCAGGCCAAACACATTTCCACAAGCAACAAAATTTAGGAGAAAAAAAGAAAAGATTAAAAAATGTATTTTTAAAAATTTTGACTCTTCATTTGATGAAAAAAATTTTTGTTTATCTGACAGGAAAGATTTTTTTTTTCTTTTTCTTTAACATCATTTTAAAAGGTGGTTGTAAATTAAATCTTCTCATGCCATCTTTTTGTCTACTAAATTCATTTCTAAATGATTGGCTTGAAAAACAGTTCTTGATAAAATCTATCCTGGATTGTGTTTACTACAGAGGTTATTCTACCAAGAATTTTGCAAGAAGATTTGTGATATTTTACATAATGTTATTTAAATCTAAAAGGAAAAATATCGTATATGAATATATCAAGTAAAGAGAGAAAAAAAAAATGAAAAGAATAAAGTTTCAACAACAAATTTTGAACAAAGAAATTTTTTTTTTTTTTTTTTTTCCTTGCATAAATATTTGATCTTGTTGAAATGTAGAATTCATAACAGCGAAAGGTTTTCCATTTTATTGTTTATAAGAAAATTTTAATGTACTGGAAAATAAATTTTTATAAATAATTGTATTTCAAGATCTATTCAGATTATTAAAAAAATTTTATTTTTTTAAAATTTTTCCAGTTTTGGTATGTAAAGTTAATCATATTTGAAAGTTTTACATTTTGATACTGTTAAATTTTTAATCATTGGATTGATTTATTTATCCAAATTTCTTAGAACAAAACATTTGTAAAATGTTCCAAAGGAAACTATGAACATGGCTTAGCACCTTTGAGACTAACTTGTCATTTGGTAAAGAGTGACAAGTGCAATGGGTATCACCTGATCATTATCCAATGACTCATCACAATTGGAACATGTTAAAAATATGTCTAAAGCAATAGAAAGGTTATTTTGGAAGTATGTGAAAGTATAATAGATGAACACTAAGGATTTGATAAAAACAAAATGTGTTCTTGGGTACTGGCAGTTGACAAGAGTTAAAAAGTGAAATGAAGAGGAAGAGCCGTGAATTTTTGATCTGATTCAATTTTTTTTTTTTTTTTTAAATAAAATCATGAAATGAAAGTGGTTTTGAATGACCACTCTTAATCCAGGTACCATCCAGGGTTCTATTCTTGAACCTATGTTGTTCCCTGACACAACTAGGTACTTCTTTCTTAGTAAGATTTGATTGGTTTGATATGGTCAAATTGGTAGCTAATCTCAAAAGTGACCTAAAATCTGCTGTTAACTGGGGGCAAGGAATGGCTTTGTTAATTTTAATACCTCCCAAACCAATCTACTTTCTATTAATCATCTGAGAAAACCCTAAGGTATAACATTCAAGCTCTTAAAAATGAAAGGGTACATTTAGAATTTAGTAATAAATTAGTGTCCAAATTGATGTCAGTAAATCTAGATCAAAACACAGGAATCTAATATGTGCTTCAGAAAACCTAGAAGGAAAAAAAAATACACCACTGATGATAAACTTGAGTTGAAAAAGAAAAAAAAAAAATGTTAGTTCTTTGGGAAACCAGTGTTCTATGCTAAGTTTTTTTTCTCTATGGAATTCAATTCCACCTTCCTGCTTTCCCAGTCAACTTTGACATGATATATATATATATATATATCTAATCTTATAAAGTACAGAAGAAATAGATGTTTTACAACAGACTAGCAAAAAGTCTAGTCTAAATTGCAAGACTAAAGGTAGGAAAGTAACAAGACAATGAAATAGCTGACCAATGTGGATGTTGATTGTGTAATAAACCTGGAGATAAATCAATCCATTAGTGTAGTGAATGATAAAGGAATAATGAATATCTTGTAGACATGAAACAATCTAAGCTACAAGACAACAAACTCTAGAATAACTCCAATTGTATGTGTTTGCCTCCAGTTGAAGTCCAGACTATAAAAGCTGAGAAATGATCAACTCTAAATGATATTGGCAAGAGAGCTAAGAAAAAAGATAATGCTAAAAAATGGAATTGATTCAATGATACAGACAAGAATTTTTGTCCTAGTGAAATAGAATAAGCAAAATGGACAAAAAAAAGGAAATTTAATTTCAGCTTTGTGGTCAGTCAACAGACTGTCACAATAAATTTCTTTTTCTTATTACATGGAAAATGTTATCAAGTTCCCAATATGACTACAGCAATCAGAAGCTTTGAAGAGCAATCTGTTCACAATATTGGGCTACGTTTTTGCAGGTTAGTAAGAACAACAAACTCCTTAACATGATATGCAAACAAACTACAGAGATTTATTTTTGCTAATGGTCATCTTACAATTTATGTGTGTGTATGTTTTGTTAGAAAGTATATACAATGCTGCTATTTAGCAAAAAATCCCTTGGGCTGGGGTGGAGGCATAAAAATTTGTAGTAGATTATTTTTTTTTATTGTCCAAATTGGAACCATAAGCGGGTAGATAAATTTTTTTTCTAACCAGTCACATTTTTGAGTCATGATAGCCACTTTCTCACTTGTTATTGTTTCAACTTTTCTAAGAAATCCTTCAGTTGTGTTCAAGCACCAAATTACTAAGCCCTTTAAATTAAATTTACAAAGTAAGCTTTATTTTGGTAACTCTTAAAAAGTTTATACAATTACTGAGTCACCGTGTAACTTAAACTGTGACTTTGTTTCTGCCATTTCAGATTTTGTATTGTTTTCATTTGTTTTTGTCTTGACATCTGCACACAATTCACTTGACTGAATATTTTGATCAAACTGTGAAGATTGCAAGTCACTTGGAGTATGGGGATCAGTTTCAAGAAATGGCACATCATTTGCTGTGGCCTTTGAATTGTCCAAGATTTGAAGATTATTTGGTGATTGTGCACAAGGAGCATGTGTCACGGGCAATAAGTCACCCCACTTGCTTTGGCTTAGGCAATGATACATTTCTCTGAAAATAAAGAAAAATATTTTAATTAGGCAAAAAATTAAAAGATTTTGTTTATTTCCTAAACTTAAAAATTTATCTACCATTGTCACAAATTACAAGTCGATCATTGAGAGAATAAGAAATTGAACCAAATGGTGGCTTCATGGGTCACATATTTAAAATAGTTATATCCCGGAGTAAGATACTTTCTCATAAGATTATCTTTATGCATATGCAAATTTTGGCTGTTTGACAAGGAAGAGAGAAAAAAACTGTTGACTGCTGTATTGAAGATGAGAGAGAAGAAACTGATTATGGCAATAAGTTTAAAACTGTTTTTGTTTTTGCTACAATGAGGAGCTGGAAATTTTATTTAGCAAAAAGAAAATGGAATAAAGTCAGTTATTGTTTGCTTAGCTATAGAACAATTTTTAGAAGTTATAATTTTTATCTTGACTGAACATCTGAAGTCAAGAACTATAAAAAAAGCAACATGGCTCCACCAAAGGAAAACAATTTATTTTCTTGGAATAATAAAATCTTTAAAATTTCTGACTGATTTTTGGGATGAGGGGTCATCATTATTTACTGTCAAACTAATGTCCCCATATTTGTTGTTGCTATTATTGTGCTTTTTTGCCTTCATCAGGAGTAAATCAGTGATATTCAGAGAATTTTGAACTGAACCCTTAATCTCATCTACAGTGGTAGATTGTTTTCATTCCACTTGGCTATAATGGATTAAAGTGTCCGATTGGGAATTAGGGAGTATAGTAATTAAAGTTCAATCTCTGGGTTGGGTCAGGTGAAAACAGAACAAGTAATAAGAAAGGATTTTACAAGACTCTGAAGGGAAACCAGCAAAATAAATGGGCAATAATCACTAGACAAGTAGCAAGATACTCCAATGGTGGACCGTGTTACTTCAATTTCAATTAATATACTTACTTGCCATGTTTTTTGGCTGTGATGAAAGCATGTTGAATTTCTCCATTTGGGCAGCAGAGTTTCATATGAATGTGTTTGGAGTGTTTGCGAGGTGATTGCAAAACACGTGGCCAATGATTTGCTGCAAGAGGAAGAATAAAAGTGAATCAAAGTTTTATTTAAAAATAAAATTCATTCAATAAAAAAAATGTATCAATTTGGACAATAAGATGAAACATTTATCTTCAGAGTAATTCAGAATCAATGAACAAATTTATAAAATATTTAAATTAATATTGTGATTATTCCAATTTATGTTAAAAACTTAAGTTTGGAGAGAGAAAAAATAGGTTAAGAATCAATTAAAATTATAAATCATTGATGACTGATGGAAAGGAAATAATTTGATGTTAGGATAAGAGAATTGAAAAGTCATCAATATTTTATCTCATCACATTTAAAGGATGTAAATAACAAAAATGAAGATCTGTATACAGGTTATGCACTATTTTCTTTACACTTCTCCTTAAATGCCATGTCCTTTCAGGATGTAGGTGATCATCATTCTCCACAACTTCCTTTTCATTTAACATTTGTAGAATGTGCTTTATGACTATTCTTTGGAAATGTGGCTCCCAACATAGGGGACAATTTGAGAATGAGTTAACAGGGAATTTTTTTTTCTAAGAAGTCTGAGTAAATACATATGGTGCATATACAGTATGCATACATAAAAATATCTGTGTGTATGTATGTCCATACATAATTATATATATTAGTAACACAATATTTTTATAAATATTGCAAAATTCTAAAATTAAATAATAGTATTGCATATACACAGGCACAAGTTCTTAAAGTTAATGGCCTTTTAGGCTTTCGCCACATAAATAAGAGTTCATTTTTTTGAATAATAAGGATTATATGTCATTGAGTGGTGGGGGTATAAGAATTTTATAGATGGGGCATGGACAAAAAAAAATGTTGAGAACCACTGGTTTAGAGAGTCCATTCTATTCTGACATTTAACCCATAGTTGGGGGGGGGGAAAGAAGAAGAACCAGATTCATGCCTTTTCCAATGAGATTAATGTGAAGTAAATACAAAACAAAATTTGAACTCTGCTGATTTTATTTTCTGCAGTTAGTCCATCTGCACCTCCATTTTTTTTTTCATCATTAAAATACTATGACTTTGATATATATGCAAAAAAGAATTGAATAATAGAAAATATCATTTACAAAATGCCATTCTTTACTTGACACTTTATTTGTGATAAAAAACAAAAATCGTGTATTCTTTAATACAGTATAATACTTTCTTGTAAATTTTTTCCCATACAAACCAGTTTTTTTAATTATAAGGCTTTTTTTCATTAAATTTCATGGTGTTGAGTGTTTACAAGAATAAATATTTCTGATTTTAATTAAAGAAAACGTTATGCAAGAGAAAAGCTTCAATTATGAAAAAAATCAAGCCCATTTTCTTTTATGTCAAATTAAATTCTTACAGAATGATACTTGGACAAACGGATTTAATGAATGCTTTTTTTTTTTTTTACAAAAAAAATTTTCATAAGTTAGAGTCAAGAAAATGGCGCCAACTTTGTCAAATGGATGGTTTATTAATTTTGACTTACTTTCTTTTAAGGGCTTCTTCTGAAGAATGACATAAGAATATCTTTCTACAAAATTCTTTTCCTTCTAAAAGAAAAAAAAAAGATTTATTAATCCAGTTGATTCTGTATTTGTGAATCTTGTTTGTTTTGCATAAAAGCAAATAGTGAACTGCCATTGCGTTTATTCCTCAGTATTCCAAGAAATAACAATATTCACTGCTTTACTAAAATTACATTTATTCTATGAGGAGTCAACAACTTTAAAGTTAAATAAGATTTTAAAGAATCATGTTATTGATCATATTATTTGAATATTAATCACAGAATACATAGACAAAGTCCATTTTTCAAGCATCAATACAATATTCTAAATGCATTGTATTTTCACACAATAATCATTTTCTGCAATGGAATACAAGATGCATGGTTAAGAAATCAGCAAACAGGTTAACAAAAATGACTAGAAATCTGTTTTTGCCATTGATTTCTTGTTTTTACATTATTTTAATAAAAACCTTAATTGTTTTTCTCATTTGATTAGAAAATATATTTATACTTTTACAAAAAATCTTACTAAACTGAAAGCAAGTTCATTTGGTAACAACAAAACTTCTACACAACAAATGCATTGTTCACTCATAAAAGTTATGTTTATTAAGTGAAATAGGACTTGTTGAAAAGCAACCATTAAGACATTAAATTTAAAGTAATTATAACAACACATGTTTTCCTAATTAACTATATTTGATATTAATGCTCATTCCAAACATACAACACATTTTATATATATCTTAAGTTGAAAAAAATTACATATTTTATTAGTGCTTAAATAGTATGTGTCATTTTATTAGTGCTTAAATAGTATGTGTCATTTTATCAAATTGCTTTCCTGACATAAATTCAAACCTGGCATTCATGAATGTAATATTTAAGTGAAGTTATATAAAAATTGATTACAAATGTTTGAAAAAATATTCAAACAGAAAAATGAGATTTCAATAAAATAGTTTGATTAGCTTTTCTGTTAATAAAAATCCAGGTTACAATCTTCATATGAACAAAAAGATTATCAAAAAAACAATTTCACTCAGGCCCCCATTCATTTTATGATTAAAATCCAAACATTGTTTTGTTTAGAAAATAAAAAGAAATTGTGTGCATGTACTTACAGAAACAAAATGAAAAGGTTTGTAAATGACCTCAAAATTACAGGGTATTTTTTTGGCTTCTACTAACATTGGACAACTGAGGTTGTGAGGACACTGGAGAGAGAAAAAGAAACATTTAATCAAATTCCAGAAGATAAATAGTAAAGATACACTGCATATAAATTACAATAAAGACAAATAACTTCCAAGAACTAAACCAAGTACTGCAAGTATAAATTTGAATTGTTCTTCCAACAGACACAGACATCCACAATGGGTACAAGTAGGAGTAAAAAGGTACACCATAAATTCAGCAGTAGAAGTCAGAGCCAAACAGGGTTTTGTATATTGACTCCATAGCAATGATATTAAGTCTAAGAGTTTCCTACATTTTTAGTTCCTACTGTCAGTTTCAAATGGTAGCTTGACTGTTTTATGATCATTGCAGAGATCTATTACAATTAGGTACCTCCACAATTTGAAAAAAAAAAGGTAACTTCAAATGACCTTTTTTCATGTCAATTTTTTTTCTCTTAACTTCACCCATTCTTAAAAATACCTTGTTTTGTTTAATCTCACTAAAGTTATTTTTAAAGTTGATTTATTTAATCTATATGATAATATATTATATCAGAAATCTACCATGGTTTGTCTTCATCTCTGATGTACAAAGTGGGCCTGTTATTTGAGAACATCAATAAATGGGAGACAGCCTAATGTTAAATATTCTCCTTTTGAAATATCAGCAGTTTCTAACCTGACAATGGAAATAAATAGGCATACTGTGCCCATGGCATTAACTGTCAACCATATTGATTCAGAGATAATCAGCTCATCCTTGAAAGTAACCAAGATGAATAGAGGAGAAATGGTACAGAGGTGGCTCTCAAAAGTGTACCAACTGGTTTTATGTTATCAGTCAATGAGAGAGATATGTAATGCTTCTTCCCACTGCCTGTCAGTCATGGAGTGGCCATACATGTTTCCATAAGGCCTCAATTTCTCTCTCCCATATTTTATGTCACCCAGGAGCTGCTGGCCAAGAACTTTTTTGTCATCATGTCATCCTCCAACATGTCATCTCTTGAATCACCTGGAAGACTATGCCTGAGGTGTTGTCAAGAGAGAGACCAACTAGCAGACCCACAATGACAAGAACTCATTGATGTTCAACGTGTTCGAGAAACACCTGATCTGGACATGCAGCTTAAGTTTTATAGACTAAAAGTTAGAAAACTTTTCTGAATAAGAAAGTGATTTTATATGTTTTATATTATATTTAGACAGCAGTTTTTCATCAATACAAGTTTGGGTGAAGGTTGATAGACAAAGAATTTAAAAAGTGTTTTTAGCTAACTTTTCTTATTTACATACAGGAAAACAAAAATTATCTGGATTCAATGAATGTAAATATTATTCATTCATATTCAAGAAACATCTTTTTAGTAATTTTGAACCAAATTTCATTGCTGACATTAAATAAAAAAAGAGCTGTACACAATTGTGCTAACACTTCCTTTATTTATCATTAATAAAAAGTAACATTTTGAGAAAAAAAAAATTAATACTTACTGGAGAAAAGACATTGGTTTCTGTGGTGGAATCAGCATCACTTTTCTGTAAAATGGAAGAAAAAACATTGAAATTTTATATCTAACTATATTTGGGAAAGAAAACAATAATTTACATGTCACTTCTTATTTGGACAATGATCTACATTCACTCAAATAATGACAGAATATGCAAAATCAATAATGTGACATGACAAGTGATGTCATACATGTCATTTCAAATTACAGCAACACTTTAAACTGATTGATTCATAAAAGAATCATCAAAAAAAAATAGAAGTTAGTCTCTTACTATAATCAAATATCTTCTTTGAAAAATGGTTTAATAGCTTTTAAGAATTAAATTTGAGAGATTCTTTTAAGCAAACAATATTTAAAAGATAACTAAGTCAAATACAAGCTATTATTATTATTATTCATAATATTTATTAACTTCTGCATAGTTTTGTTTTTATCTCAAAGATATCTAAAATCTTTGTCCTTATTATTAATAATTTTATTATTAATAAAGATTTTGAAAAAGGAGAAGGTAAATGCAAATTGACAAGAGAGAAGGTAAATGCAAAATTGAAAAGCCAACTCAAAAAATAACAGGAATTCTAAGCGATTTTACCAATAGGTAACTCACGTTTAATATAGCGTTTCTTGCTTCTATTATCAAATGAAAACCAGCATTTGTGCCATTTTCAATGATTATCTGAAATAAAACAATTTTGACTTGGTTTGACTTTAGATTACATAAAGAACTATTTTTAACTTTATGGAGAAAAAAAATATTTACCTTACGTAAGATTATTATTTAATTATAAAATGAAAAATGTCTTTTCAAATTGTGATGTTTTTAATTGATTATTCTGTATTTCCACATAAATAAACAGACATTAGAAATTTCCATTTGTTTTGAATACTTAAGAGTGGAAGAGTAAAGTTAAATGTTGTTTAAGTGTTGTAAAGATAAAAAAAAGATACTTTTTGTACTCGACAGGTAAATGTTATTGAATTTTTTAAATGAAACAAATTTTACACCAACAGAAATTCCAGCTTACAATTGGAATTAATGTAAAATTATTTACCAAATAATCTTCTGTGAGATTCCACAGTTTGTAAATTATATTCAGCCGGTCAGTTTTTGATTTCAGTTCAAATAATGAATATGCACAAATCACTAAATTGTAAAGTTTCTGGAAAGAAATTTGAAATAAAGAGAAAAAATTCATAAGAAATGAATTGATGAAATCAGGGAAAGAAAAACTTTAAAAAGTCATGGATTTTCAGTTATGGATTGAAATATACAGATTTTATATCGCTTTCTGTTTGAATTGTCAATATATTCTTAATGACATATTTAGGATAGCAAATGCATAGAATTTATAAAGTTTTAAACTTGGCTCTTGTTTATTAGACTTCAATTCTGCTGTCAGCATTTTACAAAGCAAAATGGTAATTGTTATGCATTTATACAAATGGTGACAATTTCTCAGTATGACATCCAATAAATGAATGGCTAACAATTCAACAAGGTTTTGAATGTAAATTTCTGTCATCCAAATGTAACTTCTATTATTCAATGATGTCTACCAACAGAAAAAAAAAAAAACTTAAAACTAATTATAAATTTTACAAAAATTAAATTAGCTATTTATAAAAATATGGGATTCAATGAAAATTAATGATTACTTCCGTAGATTTTTAAAACTTTATACCGGATGTGGCAGAAATACCTGCTACATAATGGTAAGATATTAATGGTGTCTTCATCTAGACAATGTCTTACCATTATAGATTTCTGTTGCACCCTGTATTATATTGTAATATTTTGTGAAAAATATATTTGTTTAAAGTAGGTATCTATAACCTGTTAACTCAGTTCAGAGGTCAAGTGTGTACTAAATCCTGTCTTTACCAATATATAATAAAAGCTTACTTAACTTGATATTGCATGCATAATAGTAAAAGTATATTCCAAACATGAAAATGCCATCAGAGGTAATGCTCTCAGCTTTTAAACAAACACTCACAGTGCTTTTTACAGGTATAAACTGTCGTAAATAGACACCATTAATGGACATGTCTTTTTGTTCTTCTCCATCTGAAAAATAATGGAAATCATTATTTCAGGAAATTCATTCCAAAAATTCATATTTTATAAAGAAAAAAAAAAAAGTGAATGCTTTACTATAAAAATTTAAAATTGTATAAATGTTCATTTTTTTTTTTTTTTAAATTATTAATAGGTAAAAAATACAATTCAAAAAAATTTCAATTCCTTGTCTATAAAACATCACAAAATATTTAAGCGTAATCTTTATTTAATTTTAATTTTAGAAATGAAAATTATTTTTTAAAAGTAAATAATGAATAGGAATACGTTTCATGAATGTCAATAAAATCATGCGTTCTCTTGAAATCATGAAAACCGAGTTATGCAAGGCTTCTTATCATTGGATGCTTGAAGATGAAAACCAGATAAAAACTGGAATTGGTTGGTATTGGGGGTCAATAGATGTGATTAGAGAATATTGGCCAAGATATAATGAGGGTTAGGGTTTGGAAGGAAAGAACAGACCATTGAAATATGTTTTTGCAATGCTGTTTATTTGATTTGCCTTAAGGAAACAAAACATCAGCATCAGAGATAAAAATGTTTTTTCATCAAGAATATTTCTCAGAAAATTCACATTTTAAACCAATGGTGAAAAAGAAAAGAGGGAACAAGATGCCATGTAAGGCTTCTTTGAAATCAAAAATCAATTATTTGAAAAAAAAAAAGAAAAAAAGATTCTTTTTGTATCAGAGTTGGAACAGCATTAAAGCGACTATGTTCTGAGAAAAGGAATTTGTTGTATCGTAAAGTCATTTGTCAAAATCTCTAATTCTACATGACCAGGAAACATTCATAAAATAAGGACTTTGATTCTCAAGGATGAGAAAATTCACAAGTTTTATAAAAGATATTCTCCTTTGTGGACAGTATTTTCAAGACGAGATATGATTAAGAAGTGGACTTATTAATCAAGTTTTTTTTGTTGCACACTTAAACAAAATCAATGTTGGAAGATACCATTTCCCCTACTTAGCTAATTGTGTGGGTTAAGTGAGTAAGAGTCGAGTACTCCTTGATAACTTATGTGAAATTAGAAATTAAATTGATGTAAATCCAGTGAAGAGGACTGGTCATGTAGAATTTGACAATCCAGCACATTGAAATAGTAACCTTTAAAGTTAGTTTGGATATTACACAAAACTATTTTACCAGAGAATATAGAGACATTACAAAGCTTTTCTTTGTCTCTACTTGGGGAGGGGAAGGAGAGAGAGAGAGAGAAGTACTGCTATATCCCATTAATTTGCATGGTCTTGGGTTAGTGAAAACTAATTTGTTCATGCTCTATTAGATGAAATGTAGAATAGCTTAGAGGCACATGTTTTGTGCTGGTACAATGAAGTGCAGCCCCTTGTGGCAATCATTGAGCTTTATAAGCAGATTCATAGCACAGATGAATTCCTCTTTGGTTAATATCTCTGTAAGTAGGTATCACAGATGAAAATTTCAAACAGGTACTAGGTGTTATCTGATTGCATCTTTTTAATCTACATGATTAAAGAAACTTAGCAGTTTTTATTTCATCAAAATATCTCAAACCGTTTAATTTTGGCAAATTTATTTTTATTTTTACACATGTGCTTGACTTTTTTGTCTATTATGAATTAGGACAAAATACCATATTTAGACTCCTATATTTTAAAAAGCAATTAAGAACAACAGTTAAAATTATATTAGCTTGTCAGGTACATAAAGAAATTAATAATAAAATTACAGATAGTATCACTACATATTTCTTAAATAAATTCAGTCTGAATATGCAAATTTTATAAATCAAACCCTTTGAACGACATGCAAACAACTCATAACCTGAGGTTTGACATTTCATAAAACTGGAAATAAGACCCACATTCATCCCAAATTTCAAATATTATATTATGACTATACCAGTAACATGCCTAATTTTGGGGGGGAGTGATAGAATGGATATATTCTGGATTATTCCACTTCAAAATTGAAAAAAATTGCTTTTTAACCCTTTGTCACAGTATTTGAAAGGCTGATTTTAGACTGAAGAGGAGACGTGCTTGAATTGTGTCATAAAATGAATACTTCTTACACTAGAAACATCAAATTTCATATCTAGCCATTTCTAGGCATGCTCTTTTCATTTATCATGGTTGAAATGACCTAAAATCAACAGATTAGAATGTATATGGAGCAGATGCTGAACAAGTACTGTCCTGACTTAACATGTACAATTTCTGGACTATAGAGAGAGAGAGAGAGAGAGAGAAGCTTAACACACGCCAAGCGATACCCACTAATAAAAACAACAGAAAACTCACCATATCATGAAGTGGTATTCAACCACTAAATTTTGTAACTGAAATCATTAAAATAAAAATATTTTATCTGTCACAATTTGATCAAAAGGTTGAAGTTCTGACACATGTTAGTTCCAATCACTACGTAAGTGGTACGAAATCACCAAATTCTCTCAAATCTTAAAACTGTAATGTTCCTCTCACATTATGCACATAAAAATAAACAACACAGACATAAAATTAATCAAATAAAGTTTATTTGGAAAATTTTCAGTAATGGTGGGCTGGGTGTTTGGATACCTCTTCACTGAGTAGTCAAAAGTAAGTCTTGGCATACTCTTCATACAATCCCTCCAAATAATCTAATTCAGGCACTACCCAAGTTCTTCTAGTCTGACTAGTATATCTTTGTTGGTGTATCCAGTTTATATAGTTTAAGTATGAGCCCATTTGTTACTTCTGCACAGAAAAGCTTACACCCAGTGCTGGATCCAACAAAACACTGAGAGTCAATCCAACACTCTCACATCTTTCACCTGTGAATCCCAAATTTGTTACCTCATGGTACAATGCAGGACGATCCACTTTTGGACAACTCTGAACTTCTGCTACAACTTTCTCAATAAGGTGTACCCACCTGTTCTTAGGAAAGATTGGGAGCAATTTATGTAGCCAAGTAATAGCAGAATCCCAGGTTTCCTGATACTTCTCTTTCAATGAATATATTTGAAGCAGCACCTTCTTGGAACATTCCACTTTAGGCAAAGACATCTACCTTCCACGTCCTTTTGTCATAAAACAACGTTGTAACTGATTCTGTACATCATCATCTTCAAAAAGAAAAAAAACATGAATTTATAATCCTATTTTGTTGAAGTACGACTTAGTATTCATCTACAAATTATTGTCTGTTTTCTTACTGAATTTGAGTTTATTTGCAGTTTATAAAAAAAAATACAATCAGGGATAAAAATATAAATTTAGAGTCATCCATACACCTGAGTAACAAATAGGGAAGCATTAAAATATTTTATCAACAAACCTATTTCCACAGTGGTCCTTAAAACTGACACATTAAAATATTTTAGAATAAAATAAACAATCATAATCGGTATGAAATAAATATTACTAAGAAATAATAATAAATTAGGAAAATGCATATTAAATCATAAATTTGTATCTAGATAGCAATAAATCGCAACTAAAATCCATTCATTAGATAATTTATAAAGTAAGAAAATTGTTTGAAGGGGTAACGTTAAACAAAATGTTACTTGGTAACTGAAATGCTGATAATTATTGTGAGAATACTGCAAAAACGTAAGACATTCTAGAATATTTTTGCATTTTTTTTGTAGAATGTTTTTTATCTCATTCTTTGAATATGAACATTTTTCGATCAATAAGTCCTACATTTTTTTTGTGATTTGAAGCTGAGCATAAAGTAAACAAATCAATTTTTTTTCATGTTTTTATGAGGAAAACGGTTTTTAAATCCCATTTACATTTTACATATCATAGAAAATTAATATTCAAAACAAATTCTTACCAATTTCCTTGAAAATTTTGTCCATAGAAAACATACTGGTTGATTCTTGGGTGTCTGTGTTGACGCTGTGTATTGACTGTCGCGTGGAGTTGAAATGATGGCCGAGCGAGTCGCACATGATTATACATAATCAAACATGTGCAAAATGGAACTATCGTTTCATTTTTGATTTTGATTTAGTTTCGTAGATTATTAAATGAGCGTTTTAATGATATATTTCATGTGTTTTTATTTTTACAAGAAGCATTTGAATTTTATGATCAAACTTTTCATTTGAATTGTTTACAAACTTCTTATTAAAAAAAAATAAAATATATGAAAATGAAGCTTAGAATGTTAACTTTCAAATTAACGTGTTACCAAAATTGTAATAAACCCTCATGGAATACGCATGTTACAAAATTTGAGAAAAGTCTAAACTGCTGTCAGTGAAAAAAAAATGGCCAAAATTTTGCAAAATCACCAAAATGTCTCTATTTTCAAACTGTAATGTTCCTTGCACACTGTAGTACATATAAAAATAAATAAGATAGAAACAAAGTTCATGAAATAAGCTTGTATTTGGTATGCATTATGTTTTTATGGAGATATTGAATGAAATAACACGACGAGTTGAATATATGCCCTTTTTAGTGTTTAGTTCAGAATTTCATCGGTTATGAGCTGAGTGTTGGGATACCTACTGTAAGTGAAACCATGTTTGTCTATCAGTTATCCTGATATTATCTACTACATGATCAGTTATCCATTAAGCAGCTTCAAGATTTGCAAAAACCAATTCTTACATATATATTTTTAGGGGAGATTCACACTGAGAAAGAGATTAAATATGAAACAATTTAGTTACCAACCCCCAAACTAAATTTCTCATGAAGTTTTACTAAAAAGACATAGTGTCTATTATTCTAACTATAATTATTCTAAAGAATTCATTAAAAATCCAACTATGGCACTCAGATTTTGCATTTTTCAGGTGGAAATTTATATTTTTATCTCAATAAATACATTAAGTATACAAAATGAAATGATACAAATCTCTGAGGCACAATGTTATCTTTGGTCGTGGAGGGGGTGGTGACACTATATTGACTGGCAAAATAGTATGACTGTTTTTATTTATTCAGTAACTAGCTTAAAAGCAGCACAGTGTGTGGACTTTTAAGATAGCTCCTTTGGAGGGTTAACTGGGCCTCTGATCCAAAACTAAAGTGACCTCTGGTCCAGCTTAGAAAACAGCAAGGATAATTTTGATGAAATAACTTTGAATTCCTCAATTCACTCCATGGAAATTCAAAACCTCGTCGTAACTCTGATTCAAACTACAAGTCCAATTCTGGCCAGAACTCTGATTTAGGCCAAAATTCCAGTTCAGACCAAAAACTGAGTTCTTCAAATCACAAACTCTGTGGAAATTAAAACACAAACCTTCTCATTTTAACTCTGATTCCTTGGCATTTTGAAGAAATAAAATTGATTTCCTCAATTCATAAAGTTTTGGAGATATTTTAAACTGAATTTAAAACAAAAAAATTTTAAATTCACAAAGTTTTTGTGTTACTTTAAACTCAATATGAATTAAAAACTTTTAAAATCAATAATTTTTTTTCAGTTATTTTAAAATTTGAATTTTTAACTGTTCTCTCCTCATTCAGACACAAATCCCAATTCTGGATGTTCAAGTACCAGATGAAGAGTAGATTTTCAATCCTGGGATCATCCTGATTACAAAAAGGTATAATGTGTCTATGTAACGGACAGACAGAATCTGATGTTTATATATAGTTATATATATATATATAGTTAATTTAAAATATTAGAAATGTCTAGTATAAAGATATTCAAAATAGACACAAAAAGCCAAACATTATTTTAGCACATGACTTTGATTTAAATTTAAAGGATATAATCTTCAAGTCTTATAGAGAGGTTTTAACTGTTTTGAAGCTTTTAAAATGATAGGCATTTGTATAAATCTTTCTTTCAGGACTGTTAAAAAGTAGCAATAAGTTTGAAAAAATAAAGTAAATAATGAACAATTATCTTATTTATTGAGTGATCATTCTTGAAACTAGAACAATTACAGTCACTAGTGGGTAATGGATGGCCTGGTTATTTTAAAGCAGGAAAAAATTTATTTACCTTGAAGTAAGAGACGATTAACAGTGTTCATATCAGTAGAAATATCACAGCTGAAATATTCAAATATGGCTTTATTCCAGATTTTGTTACAGGCCCTGAAATTTACAGATAACAAAATCAAAATATATTAACATTCTTGATAAGAATGCAATAGTCAAAATGTTTCAACTTAAAATGATGAAATTTACAATTTTTTGCATAACAATAAAAGCATAAAGCAAATATGGTTTTGAGTTTTGAGTGATTGTTCTTGAAACTAGAATGATTACAGTCACTAGAAGGTGTACCATTGGCTAGCTATAAACTTACCACCATTTGCAATGAGGGTCAATTATTGGTAGTTGCAGAGCACACAAGTAATGGTGGTCAGGTGACTGGGCTTGAAGAGAGATAGAGGATTAGCCTAAAGTAAATATTTTGTAAAAAAACTGTAAAAAGCATAACATCAATAATAAAAGCAATTCTAACATTCAACTCACCAAATAGAAGAACCAGTACCTGAACCAAAATCAAAGACATTTCTGGGCTTAAAATTAGGATCTCTTTTGATAATCTGAAAATATAAATAAATTTCAATGTTAAAAAGAAAATTGTGTAAAGAATAAAACAATCAACATGCAAAGTCATTTTTATTTTGAATTGATTGCAGGAGAGTTGTTCACTATTTACTTTATTATTTCAAATTTATTGCTACTTTTTAACAGTCCTGAAAGAAAGATTTATACAAATGCCTATCATTTTAAAAGCTTCAAAACAGTTAACACTTTTAATAGAGATAATACCTCTCTATAAATAAGCTCAGTAGAATTTTCACTATTCAGTAAAATTTCACTTAAGAAAGCTATCAGCTATTTATTTTCTGAAACTTTAATAAACTTCAATAATCTTACAAAAATTAGGAAAAAGTATTTTTTTAAATTATACTTACTTCTGAAAGACATTGTATAAGGACTGCATAGTTAGCTGGCATTCTGGAGACCATATACAAGAAACTTTTATAGGCATCATACCTATAACCAGATAAAAAAAAATTGAAAATAGCATGTATAATTTATTCCAAGTAATTATACACTAATACAAAATCCTGCAACCAAAAATCAGAATCAGAAAGAACAAGAGAAAAGTGATGATATTGACAGCTGTAGATGCAGGAACATTTCCACAATGAAAAAGCAGATTTTTTGTCTTGATAAAAGAGATATTCCAGAACCATCTTTAAAACTATCTATAGAAAATGAAGAAACAAAAGCAACAAAGGACATAAAATTTAAATATCTTTGAAATGCTGTTTAGCTAACATAAGATCTCAGCCTTCATGTTTAGCCATGTCCTTCTGTTGTCAGTTTAAACTGACACCCACTTTTTTCCATATATTAACTTTTTTGCTTAAAGTTAGTATTTTCTGGATTTCAAATGAAAATTTGGAAATTTTCAGTGAAGAAATTTTCCCTTTACAAAATTACAGTTTACAATTAGAATTTAAATATATGAGGATTATGGGTTAAAGCTGCTAAACACAGTACCACCAGTGCTGGATGTTTAGAGATTAGAACAGCAACAATTGTTTACCTTAAAGGATTCTGGATTGTCTCATTCTTGATCCTACCATCAAGTTATCAGGAAGAGTAATTTTGATGCTTCATGAAAAAAAAAATGGCTATATACTGATTCCCTTTAAATTAACTTTTGACTATCAGTCAAGATAGAAAAACAAAAATACTGCACATTACTGCATGAGAAAGAGATTGTCCCAAATGCTGAAAATTTCTCAACCCAACCAAGAAGGGATTAAAAAAATTTTTAGAAGTGAGTCAAGCCAAGAATTTTCAGCCCCCACTTCTCATACAGATTTTCTCTATTCTACATTCTTTCTCCATATCCATTCCAAAGGATATGATTTTTACTTCTAGAATCAGTCAGAGTAAGGTAATCACCTTTCATGGATTCCACAAAAGGGGAAAATAAACTTCTTTTACAAGATTTTGCAATTATAGAATTGGAATTTTAGTGGATTTTAAATTTTATCTTTAGTTTTCTGAAAACTATAAAAGCTAATTTTTAAAAATTTATTTTGGGTAACACCCTGCCTATGTGTTGCTACTTCTTCTCATCAAACTCTTTGACACTTGATGGCATCAAAAGCCAGTGATCATTTTCCAAGCTGCGTTCAGTACTGACACTGTTCTTCAATAATGTTTAAAAACAATCTCTTATAAAAATTCTGCAGACCAATGATCTCACTGGCAAATGATTGTGTAGTATGTGACTTATATCTGAAAATGCCAGGAGACTGAATTGAATTTAATGTCAATAAGGAACCTTTGTTCTTAGTGGAGTTGATCTCTGGTGACCCCAGTATGTAATGAGCTCACCATTCCGAGATACCAAAGTAGGCTTTGCACTTGCTGCCACATCAGACTATCAAAAGAGGTGTGTCATCAGAAAGTTGATGTGGAAGGTGGCTTCATAGCCATCAGATGCAGAATTAGGCCTCAAAGAATGTCAGTTATCTCAAGAGTCAGAGTCACATCCTTGCAAGAAGATGAACATTCAAAGAAAGTCCCCAAAACCACACCTCTTCATGTGCATGCCAACATTAATTGTTCAGCAAATAAACAATAATTTTACATAGTGAAAAGTTTAGTCTTGTATTTTTAGCCTACCAATTTTTCACCAGTTATTGACAAGGAAAATGAGAATACCAAGGAAATACACTGTTCTGTTACAACAGGATAGAAATCATATTGTTTATTTCAATTGTCCCATTTTTAGCTTAGGTACTTTTTAGATTGGTCACCATTTTAACCACTTCTGGTTAGACATCAGTTTAGCATGGGGAACACCTCATAATAAAGGCATGATACTGAATACATGGTCAGTAGTTTTATCCCCGATGATCTCACCCCCAAAGTTAACCATCATCGGTTTGAATCTTTTGATAACTTTTCCTCTACATTTTTCTATTTTATTTTCATGTTATCATTTGAACATTTGTTTAAAGCAGCCATATTTTATATGTTTGTATCTTTCTGTATAGAATCCTGTGAACACATGCCCACTGCCCACATACACTGTTGCAAAATGTTGTAACTTCCTTTTTATTATTTAAATTTATTATTTTTATTCCTTAGTGTAACTTCCTTTTCTGAACTCACCACAACATCGAAATGTATTCTCATAGCAAACATTTTACATATTCATGTAAACAAAGTATTTGCTACTTTCTTTATCCATTCATTAGACAAATCATCTCAGGTTTGTGTTCAAACCTCTTCTTTTGTCATATTTCTCATTACATTTGTTTATTTGTATTTTCAGACTAATTAATCTTATTTATATGTGTTTATTTCCCATTGTAGTTTTACCCTTCTGGTTCTTAATAAACCTTCTGATGTATGGGATTTTATTGTCTTCAGAGTTTTAATTGCCTTAAGGCATTTATCTGGCCACATTTGAGACTATGCACGCACACGACACGGACACATATTCTCAGGGGCAGAACATATACATTTCTTCATCATATAACCATTTTTTTAACATTCATCAGTGAAAAAAATCCTCAAACAGCAAATATGTTTTTCATTAGATACTTTTTTTTCTGCAAATCTTCAGGTTACCTGAGTGCCATGGTTGTGTCACACTCAGGTTTCAAAAGGTCAGAAGCAGTCATGGTGGGGGGGGGGGATATGACAGAAACTACAGAGAAAAGAATTGCTTGTTTGTTGATATCTAATTTTCATTCCACAATAGTCGCTTTTTGAGTTAATGTTTGGCAATAGCAACTCATCATTCACTAATTTCACAAATAGATATTTATTAGTCAGTTTTTCCTTAAAATCATTTTTAATAAATATTTTTTATTTGGATTTATTGTCTAACTAGCTATACAGATTTTTTAAATTAAAAAGTGGAGATAACTCACGTTATAGGCTGCCAATTGTAAGTTTTAGTCTTCACAAGATGAACAATTTTATGATGTATTTTCTTTTCAAGAGCATCCTCTGAAAGTTTACTGGAAAATTCTGAAACATGAAATTTTGTAATTTTATAGAAGAGAATGTAACTTTATATTCTCATGTCATGATAATCTATCTATAGAAATTATTTTGATTTAGTTAGGATGATTAACAAAAAATGGTGCTTACAAAATATTTAGCAGTTGGTTTAGATAGCATGAAAATCAATTTTCATTCCCCAATTTTTAATCAAGTCAAATCTCAAATACAAAGTGAATTTTAATTAATCATTTCTAGAAATGACTTTTTTTCTTTCAACTGAAAATAATATAACAAGTTTTCTAAATAAATCAATTTTGTTTGTGTTGAATCTTAAAAAGCCTGTTTAGAAGCAAAAATGTGAATTATAGTCAGAGGGGACTAATATAAAATTGATTTATTTTCTCACTCTCCACATTAAATTAACTTTCGTAATGTGGTGAGAAAAAATATCCAAATGCTTAAAAAAGAATCTCTATAGTCATCAATTTATTCCAGGAAGACATTAATTTCTTTTTAAACTAAAGAAAAAAATGATAAACAAAGCATTTTAAGAGTCTGAAATGTTTTACAAATATTTCAAACATAAAATAAAAATGAAGAAATTATTAATTCTTACTTGTGTTATCCAGAACTTCCTTGGTGACTTCTTTCCATTTCTTGTTCAATTCGTGTGCCTCAATTGGTGGATGTCGTCCCCAAAGAACCCGAGCAAAACTTGCAGCAGATTCCACAAGATTATTTGTAGGATATTCTACCAATATGCAAATAAATAAATATTCTACCAATATACAAATAAAGTACTCATTTTTCTTTCACCTACTTCTAACCATTTTAATTAGTAACAACAAAGATAAAAGAAAAACTTAAAAACAAAAATAACTTTTATTTAAACTGTAAGTCAAAGAAATTAAATTAAAACATACAATATGTATCACATATTAAATCCAAATTTGATTAATATTTGAAATTAAAAATTAAATATTAATTATTACAATGTTAAAAAAATATGTATGTATGTTTTAAAGTGCACATATACTGCACTGATTCTTGAGGAGTGATATCTTGATACTCATCAAATCACCTAGATATTCTAATTCTAGATAAGAAGTACTGACTGATATGTAAATAATTACATCATTTCTTATGGGTCCCAACATATAAAGTCAATAATGAGAAGAGCAAAAATTAAAATTATGAAAATTTTTGTTATTATTGCATCAACACAGTAAAATATCAAATCTGTCACATTAATTTGACACTTGCAAAAACTTTATATCTAAATAAATCTTTAAAAAACCCTAATCAAATACAGGAACATTAAATTTGATAAATAATAGTTGCATTTTAATTTCACTAATTACTTAAACTTTTTGACGTTTAAAATAGATTCAACTTAGAAATAAAATTTCATAAAAACCTATTGAATCTTTTTTATACTAATATTTATAAATGTCTCAATTAAAAAACAGAATCCTTCAGCTCAACACATTTTATAAGTGAATATGTAGACTGTAGTATGAAATGTTAGTAATACAGCTGAATTGAAAACTTATAAAAATCAGAAAATGAAACAACTTACTTTCAATCAATCTATTTACTGCCTTTTCAAGTTGAGCGGGGACTGAAATTGGTTTCAGTTTTAACATCCCCACATGAGGTGGAATTTTTTCTTTGGAATTTCTAACCATCTCAGCTACATCAGGAACAAGGCGAGACTCAGGGGTAATGAATCCAGAGGTGTGTTTTAACTAGACAATTCACAATAACAGAAACATTAAAATGTCTAATAGTTTGAGAAATTATCATCAATATTCTGTGAAAATAAATAATTTATATTTTAAAACTGGCTGAATTATAAATGAGATTAATTTTATCAGATTAATTAAAAAAAATGCTCATCATACTTTGATATCAGAATTTTATTTCAACTTTTTAGAAAATATAAAAACAAATATAATTTAATGAAAGAAGCAAATTCGGAAATATTTTTCCATTAGAATATATTTTAAGGGACAACATAAATGATAAGTCATTATTATCTTATGTTTTTTGTACATGCACCGGCTATAACAGTTAACTTCAAGAACAAGAAATAAAGCCTGAATAAAAAACGATAATTATTTTTAATATGAAAATTAAAATTTCTCACTCTAGAAAGTTATTCATGTATAGGAGAGTTTGAAGAAATTTGATTTTGTCAGCGGGAACCGTTTAACTTCTTCATTAGAAAAACAAACACAATCAGTTAAACTAAACATCTTTTCTCTAGCTGATCACAATATTTTATATTAGGTTGAAATTACCTGATGCCAATTCAAATTTCTCTGAAAATAAGAAATTTCTATAAAAAAAATTTACATTTCAAAAATCTTTAAAGGGTTAAATACATTTTTATTTCATGTTTCAACTTTACATACCAATAAAAATATAAAATATGTTTACAGACAGTATTAGTTTATTTTTGCAAAAAGGAAATAATTTTCAAACTGGTTTTTATTCCCTATTTTGATTGTTTATGAGGACAAATCATAAAATAAAGACAAAAATATTTTAAATTTGTAAAACTAAATTTCAAGCCAATAAAAAAAAATTTTTTCACTATCCAAAGAATATTTCATTCTCAGAGCAGTTTCTTCTTTGAAATTTAGAAATAAAAATGTTCAATAAGAATCTGTTTCTTGCATTTTAAAGATTATTAATTTTTGATGAGTATTTATTTCATCATAATTTCAGTTACTTTTTATTGCAACTTCTAGATTGTCATTCTATGATTATGAAAAGCAGTACATATATGAAAATAAATAAACCTCCAGAAAAACACAAGGCTCTATTCGCAAAAGCCTGTTCTGACTGTAACAGATGCATTAGGTCACCAGCTGAAATTAAATCTTATCATATCAAGCTATATTTTTTTATTTTCTCCAAATGTCTGTTATACTGCCAGGTTTTTTTTTGTTTTTTTATTACTTCTACAAGGAATATTAATTCTTCTAAATTTCTTACATGAAGCATTCATTTCAGACTAGAATTCCTCATCAATATTGTTTTTTTGTAGAATGATGATCTGGAAGGTGCAATAAAAAGCAATGAAATTAAGATGAAAGAAATACTCATCAAAAATGAATTGACAATGCTTCATGATTTGATTTGTTTCGTATGAACATTGAGGGATTCCAAAATATAAACAGCTATTAGGCTCATGTCAGTCCAAATTTTCTCAACATTCAAACTATTCTTGAGTAATCTTGCACATAAACACAAGATATGTTGATAAAGATATGAAATTAAACAGTTTTTGTTTAATAGCAAATGTCAAATTAAAAAAATGTCTGGAAATAAAAAATGTTTGTGAAATAAATAAAATTTAAACCGAATGATTTATTTTTTAAAAAAACATTTAAATTGTTAATCCAATCAAATTTTGACGCACGGTTTCAAATGACTTTTCTATCAAATAAAGTTACAAAAAGTATTTTTATCACTTTGTTTAATAATTGTAATGTATTTTTAAGTTTAAGTAATAATTCTGTTGTGAAGGTTTTTTATGTTAGCAAATAGATTTCATTTGTTAGTTATTTTTCACAAAATTCGAACCAATACGACCCGATGAAATATGCATTTTTCTAGCTGGTTTTTATTACTGTTAAATTACCTAATTCAGCTAAAAAATTTAAAAATACAATGAAAAAGCAATAAAATGTAAATTTTAAAATGCCTAAACCTTCGACGTTATTGCTAAGAGTTAAAAAAAAAAAAACAATGACTAAGTTATTCATTAAATACCAAACAGATATTAAATGAATACACTGCCATGAACATTAAAAAAATAGCTACCTTCCAATACAAACTTTTGAGATAAACGAAGCGATTATAAGACAGCGATTTGAATAAAATGCCCTTGCGCCCCAGTACCATGCCTGTCCCAATGGTTGTCGCCATTTTGAAGTTACTATTAATGTTTCGTATTTACAATATTTTTCATTTTGTTCTCACCTTTATTGTTCTAATTTAAAAGCTGAAATATTGCTAATTAAACAATATCTAGCATTATATGTCTAAAAGTAACATTTTAAAATATTTGGTATACGAAACTAAAAAGTAAAGTGAATTTTTTTCTTCACGTCAGATGTACCTCCCATTAATCAAAAGTAGTTACTGCTCACTTTGCCTACATGAATACTTTCAGGAAATTTTTTTCTGCTTTCAAATCATCTATGAGACAATAATTTAATTTTTATTTTAGAGTTTTCTGTATTTTCTTAAAATCTCTATTCATCTAATTAGAAGTCTAATGGAGCCTATCTTTTTAAAAGTGCATTGAAATATACTTTGTATTTAAATAATTAAATTACGTCACTGGACGCCTGCTCACTCGATAAAATTTAATAAAGAAAATTTGTTCTCTCGCGGGGTTCGAACTTGTGTCCTATCTTTGTAATAGAAATCATTGATCGAGCGTGCTTTAAACTACTCGGTCACAGCATTGCAAGCTTCCTTGGTTTGCTGTTTTAACAAATATTCACAACAATCTTTTGTTTTTTGTTCATTAATTCAATTATTCAAGGTGGAGGACATGAGTTCCCCTATATAGTTTTCTCGAATGCGCAGACCAGTAGAGTAACAACAGACACTGTTTAAAAGGCAGGGACTCTACTCAAATACAGGTATCTACTTAGATAAAACATTTGAAGAAGTATATTTATTGTATAAATGAAAAATTGTTTGCTTTTTATTTTCCAAATTATGATGTCCCCTAAACTGTTCCAAATTATTTTACAACAACTTTTTTTTATGAATGAAAAGAATTTAAAGAATAATTAAAAAAAAAAATTTTAAAAGTTTTAATTTGAAATTAAAATAATTATTTTACAACAACAAACTTTTTAATGTGTGATTTAAAAGAATTTTTAACAAATTTTTATTTTTCCATATGCTCCAGGAATCGTCGCAAATTCAAGAATTGATTTCTTTTCTGTTGATAGTCAAGAAGGTCCAGGCCGATGTTTCTTTTCATGGTGTGACGGCCGGCCAGTAATGGCATAGTGCGGGGAGACACCGGTGGCGCTGTTGGTCGTGGCATTTAAAAACGACAGATTCTAGAACGTCTGTCCATTCACATTTCCTGTCTTCGCATAACATATAAAAGCGCGTTCTTCATCGTGCGATGTTGTCTCTCGATATTTCCTGAGCTTTGCGGGCGCCAAGGACAGTGAAGTTCTTGCGTGATTGACATCTGGTTACAGAATTGTCGATAGTTTTCTCCAGTGATACTGTGTGCCTCTGTGTCGATCAGAGGATACTATGCGTGGAATCTCTGTGTCGAAGGAAGAAATGGTACAATCCGCGGGCAGCGTCGATAGCACGTCTCTCGCGGATGGTATGGCTGTAAAATGTCGGCTGAAGCTATCCAAGATGGTTAGGATGTAACGTTTTCCCTTTGAGTTGGGCATTGTGACAAAGTCTATAAAGACGAGATCGAATGGTCTGTTTCCTCGTTTGCAGTGGCCAATGGGCCAGTGGGTACGTATACCGTAGTTGCCCTTGCATTTAGCACACGTGTCGCAAGAATCGACATAGGTCTTGATGTCGCGGTTTTTGAATTCCCACCACTAGCTGGAAAGGAGTTCCCGCATACGGGTAACATCTGAGTGGTTGTTGCCCTCGTGTGTCTGGTAGAGGTATTTGGGTCGTAGTTTGTATGGTACAACCAATCTCGGAGAGTGTTTACAGTCTCTTATCATCAAAACGGAGGTGCTTGGTTCTAGAAAAAATTGGTGGAAATGTTTTTGAAAAGCGTAGCTCGGTGGTCGTCAGGATCGATATGAGGTTCGCTTGGGGTGGGTGACTGGAGGGCGCTGATGATTTTTGCCAGGGCGTCATCCTTCAGTTGTTCATTTGCGATGCCGAGGTGGTTTCAGGTTCTCTCAGTGGGGATGGTGGTGGTAGAGTGATAGGCGAAGAATGCGTTGGTGACGCGCTTGTGGGTGCGGGCGTTTTTTGTGGTGTGTGAGTTTTGGGAATGAGCTGTAAACCGTTAAACTCGCCGAGGCACCAAGATGGAATGTATACGCGGAGGTCTGAACCGCTTACCTCGAATGTCCTGCCTGCCGGTGTAGGGTCGTTCAGGGCTTTCGTTTTCTTATGTCCGCAACCTCTGCTGAGCATGTCAGCCCATACATTTGATTCGCCTTTCAACATATTCCAAGACGAATTTATAACATGAAATTTCTTCTTGCCATCGTCGTATTTTTGGCATTATTGAACTCTCGTTGGTCCAGATCTGTGGTCGGTGAAGATGATGAAGGGGCTGTTGCGAAGGAAATAATCAAATTTCAATATTGCCCACTTTATTGCATATGTCTCGTTCCGTCGTGGACCAGTTCTGTTCTGTGGAGTTAAATGTATGGGAAGCGACCGCTATGATATCTTTCTTCCCGTTGTCGGCTTCTTGCATTAAGATTGCTCCACATGCGACGTCACTGGGTCGGTGGTGAGTGTGAAAAGTTTGGAGAAATCTGGAAACGAGATGACAGGTGGCGAAGAGAGACGGTCCTTGATTTTTTGAAGGCTCTGTCGGCATTTTGTGTCCAGACAAATGGTTTATTAACCTTGTTGAGTTCGTGTATGGGACCCATAAGTTTTGAAAACATATCTGACCTGATTTGTTTGTGAAGACGTGTCTCTAGGAATTGTCTGATCCACACTAAACGGCCGATAAAGCTTTGTAATTCCTTTTTGATGTTGAGGTTTCATTTCCCTGATGGCTCGAACGTATTCTGGATCAGCCTTTGAATCCTTCGCTGTTTACTATGCGTCCGAGGAATTTTGCCTCTGATGCGAGGAAGGAACATTTATCGGGATTCAGCTTGAGTCCGAATTTTCGGAGGGCAGTAAAAAATTGTTCGAGGAAGAGTATGTACTCCCTAAATGTCCCAGCGTGGATCAGGTTGTCGTCGATATAGGAAGAAATGTTGTCACGGGATGTGACCATGGCTAGGGCTTCTGCTATGCAACGGGAGAATATTTGTCCGGCAGATGTAAGGCCGAAGGCCAGGCGCGTGTATTGATAGCATTGGTCCTTCCATGTAAATGCTGTTTTGTATCGGTCTCGCTTGTCGATCACAATTTGCCAGTAGCCGCTGCGTAGATCGAGGGTAGTAAAATATCTATTGCCTTTGCCGATTTTGTTGAACAAGTGGTCGATCCTTAGCATTGGGTAAGGGTCAAGATCGACTAAGACCTTGTTGAGAGTTCTTTTAAAGTTAGCAACGACGCGAATCGATCCGTTTTTCTTGCTTACGGCAAATACAGGGCTATTGAAGCCTTTGGGGTCGCTGCAGTTTTCAATGATACCTTCATCAGCCATGCGCTTAATTTCGGTATCTACGTCTGCTTCCAAAGCCTGGGCGATCGGGTGTTGTTTCTGGCTGCGAGACTGGCCGTTGGTTGGTATGCGGATGGGTCGGATGAATGTGCCTTTGCTGCTGCTTTCGGTGCCGATAATGTCAGCGTAGCGAATGAGTAAGTTTGCAGTGGCCTCTAGTTCGTCTCGGTTCGGGTGGTTTGGTAGCGATAGCCCCGTGTTATGTTTTAGCCAGGTTAGCTTTTGATCCAGTGTCTGGATGTTGGGCTGTAGTTCCATAGTAGGCTGGTTTTTATGATGTCAGCTTGGGCGCCATATGCTGGATCGTTGGTTGACGATGACGGTGATATGATTGCGGCTGTGTGTCCTGAGGAAAGTGTGCGTCTGAATTCTATAGTCGCATTTTGGTTGTCGATTAGATAGGAATCGAGCGTGTTGTGACATAGATATTTTGGCCGATCAGGATTGGTGTGGTTTGGGTAGTTACCAGCACGTTAACCTTTTTGAATGTGGGTGAGTCTCGACTGCCGATGGTGATGTCGCTGTCAGTTCGCCGAGGGCGGTGGTGCTGCCGTTGATTCCTTTACTACGACGACGTTGAGCGGGTCATGAGTTTTGGCTTCTCTGGGTAACTGAGATATTGGTACGATGCAGGTGGAGCATCCAGAGTCTAGCATTGCGACGCCAGAGAAGGTGATGTCTCTGAAATTGAAGGTGGACTGGACGAGCGGTGAATGGTGAGCGAGTCCTTGAAAGTTGAAGGTGTGATGGCTGACGTAGGGGATGGCGAACGAGGCATCACATCTCGTCCTGCCCGAAGCGAAAATCCTGTTCCACATCATTTATGGCTTGAATATTATCATTCGTTGCGGCAATATGTGCCTGTGCCCGAGTGCGAGTTGGGTGGCGATATAGGCAGTTGCATCCATGGTGGCAGGGGCGACCTCTGAGGTAGTTCTTGCACACGCTGATTCGTGGTGTGTGCTGATGGTTTCTGCGTGTCGAATGGTGGCCATGTTCGGGAGGGTTGGTGAGGCCCGTCTGCTGTGGGTTTGGTTACCTGCTGGGTTGAGTGGCGCGTTTCTTTGGTTTGACCGCTGTGGTTTCTGTGTGAAATACACAGTGTCATGCGAAGTTGTGTCGTTGGATTTTACACCGCGATCAAGGTATATTTGAGCTTCAGAGGCTATGCCAATGGCTGAATAGTGGTTGTCCATTGTCTTAATGAGATGTGGGTAAAGATTTGAGTTCCAAATTTTCACCTTTTCGCACATTAGATGATGATGGAAATAAGTCCATCGACTGTTAAGTCTGTATTTTTGTCTTTTTGTATTTGTTTTTTATGTGGATGGCTGCCTCTCTAAAGGTGTTTTCAAGTCGACCCGTGAAGTCTGTTAATTTTTCGCCATCTTGTCGTTCCAGATTAAAAGGCTTGACTGAGGTGTTGGAAGTTAGTCATCTGGCTTCCGTGGGCTCCTAATAAGTATTCCTTCAGTTGTTCGAAGGTGGATATGTCCTTTTTTTGAGTCAACCATTTGCTGAAAGATACTTT